CACAGTTGCTATTTTAAATATCAGTAAACTGAAAGCTAACCTTTTCATCTGCTTATTTATATCTAGTATCTGTGGATATTTTTTTTTATTCAATTTGTTTCTCGATTTTTGTTCATTACGCTCTATATTGTTTATATTATCTTGACAAGAGCACCTATATTTCTTGTGTTGTATTGCTTGCACTGTATATCTTGATTATCTTTACAAATCAGCACGAAGTTTTATATAAACATAGATAATGAAATATTCAAACATGTTTTACAAACAATACATTTTAATTATATTAGGTATCTGTAAAACATACTACTACTACTTTATTTCCTTTAAGTAATTTCCTGTCTTGGCCTAACAATTTATTGTTTATTGCTAATTTCTGGCTACATTTTTAATTGGTAATACCAAACAACAGTGATAAACTCATTTTATGTTTATCACCAACACAAAATATACATATCAGTATTATAAATATACCTGTTCAAGAATCTCTCAGAAATACAAATCTTAAGTATGTTCTTGCAAACACCTTTAATATTTTTACAATAAACTTGAATATTCGCAACATGGTTTGCAGGAACATTTGTGTCTTTATGTACATGCAATTTAACTTTCTTTAAATGAAAAGCTGACTCGATGTTTTAAAGTTCCTTATAATTTTTGAATTAACTAATCTTTAACTATTATTATGTGAGGTGGTTCTGTAAAATGTCTACCAACTAAAATAGGAAATTCTTGTAAATCATCCCTTACTATCTTAATCTTTACTTCTGTCTCTAGTTGGTCAATTTCAATTTTCACTTGAATAGAACCCAAAGTGGTTGCAACTCCTTGTCCAAAACCTTTACGTGCACATATATCATATCTAATTCCTAAAGTATTTAAATTACTTAATCTTATTGTCGTACACGAACTTCCTAAATATATATAAGCAATAAATTTGATCTATTATCATTGATTAAAATACCCTTAAAATACTTCTTATAAGTCATCTGTTGTGCCTAGTCATGCAATCGGCTTAGTATTTTCCCTTTTCTTTTTATAACAATTTGCCTCAATGTGCCCACTTAGTTTAAAATAGTTACACTTTTGCTCATTAAGTTTACTCTGTGTCGTACACTGTAAGTGTGCACACAAAGATTCTATGCCGTACACTTTTTGGCAATGTGGCCAGTTTTACCACATGTGTCGGTATATCTTTAAATATCAAGAATCTAAATATATGTAAAAAAAATGTCACGACCATCCAGAACCTAGGATCTACCTTTTATTATCCCACTTCTGAAAAATTCTATGGTACCAAAAAGCCTGAGCATATTAAATTTTAATCGAATTTAATAAATGTAAAAAAATATAAAATAATCATTAATAAATAAACAAAAACTTAAAAGAAACCAAACTTTAATTCGAACGGCTATGGGTAAGGCAGGTTCTTGTTCAGGATGGTTCATGACATAGACTTGCCTGAAAAGAAAAATCTTTGTGAGTATGCCGGTCCTACAAAATTCCTGATATTTATTATTAAGGTAAAATATCACAGTTCAAATGTTACAACGGGTAGTAAACGCAAAACACCCTTCACAAATGTCCAAAACATATCTTACGGCACTAAACGCGAAGAGCCCTCTCTAAACAACTGGTGAACCCTTGCCACTAGCCTAGTGAACCCTTGCCACTAGCTCTCTAAACAACTGGTGAACCCTTGCCACCAGCCTAGTGAACCCTTGCCACTAGCTCTCTAAACAACTGGTGAACCCTTGCCACCAGCCTAGTGAACCCTTGCCACTAGCTCTCTAAACAACTGGTGAACCCTTGCCACCAGCCTAGTGAACCCTTGCCACTAGCTCTCTAAACAACTGGTGAACCCTTGCCACCAGCCTAGTGAACCCTTGCCACTAGCTCTCTAAACAACTGGTGAACCCTTGCCACCCAAATAATAACTTAAAAATAATATATTTACCCTGTACTGAGACGTGCAATGACACCAAACGCAAGGGTCTGTTTCAGTTACAGATACAAACAAATCATTATAAAGAAGATAACTCTTTAAACTAATAACTCTTAAATAAATCAATTATAAATTAAAACAGAACATGTAGAGAATGCATACTCAGTGAATCAACTCACCCTATAATGGATCTTTAACACTGCCTCAACACTGTCACAATTTTATAACTATTTAAATTAATTATTTAGCTCGTATTTAAATTAACGTTTAGCGACACTCCACTTCTTTAAAAGATTCAAAAGCAACTAAATGCCAACCTAAATATTAAACTGAACCTCTCCGATATTGTGTGCGTCTGTCATAAAAAACTATGAGCCTTAAGATATATTTTTTTAAGTGCCGTGACCAGCGTTCTGTTTATATTATCGCCGCTTGCCCTTGCGTAGTCTAAACAATCTGGAGCGATAAGCTTTGAAGCCTCGCTTGACAAAATTGGTGTGATTTTGTTACGGCGTTTAAAATATATCTGAATATTATGAGGTAAAATATACAGGGTCTTACATAATTACTAAAACCAGAAGTTCCAAAAAAATATATTTAAAAATAATAATTATCTATTAACATGGATTTGGACTTTGGACCATAATAGGGGGGGTAAGAATACTAAATTTATTTCTATATTCGGTACCTATAAAATTGTTTATTAGGTTTTTAATTTGCGATGTTTATGGTAAATAATTTTCATGTTCGTTGCCTCTGATTTCACATGAGGACAGAGATGAGGATATATATGGAAAAGTAACCACAAGAGGAATTGTTACATCATTTAAAAAATGTTGGGAATTTTATTGTTTCCCATCGAAAAGTAGAAAATGCCAATGCAGATGAATGTATTGTAATTGTGATAGAAGTAATAGCAATGGTGAAGTTTATTATAATTAGTGGAAGTAATTCCAAGGGTGAAGTTTATTATAATTAGTAACCTGTGCTTCTTTTTATATTTAGATGTTTCAGGTTTTGAGAATAAATCGGTTGAACGAAACCCAAAATTTAGAGGAAGTATTTCCATACCCAGAATATGCCCATCAAGGATTATATAGCTCAAATTTCCTTTAATGGTAGGCAATTATTCAATGCAAATTAACTTTTTAAGTGACTGAAATATTAAATAGTTTACAATATGGTATATCATTAAAAATATATTACTTTTAGGTACAATTAGGGCCCGATACATTACAAAAAGTAGAATACCTATTATTTTATATTAAATGAGGTATTGTACCAACAATCAATTTATATTAATACCGGAGATTAAAAAATAACAGAATAAATAGTTCTTTTTTTTATACTACAAAAATAAACTATAGAATACAACAGTATTTAAAAAAATAAATAAAAAGTTATGTCCCGGCCGAGATTCGAACTCCGGTCTCTCGCTTCCTAGCCCGACTCCTTACGCACTGCTCCACAGTAACTTGCTTAGCGATAATTCAATGACGGTATATAACCAAAAAAACAGGTTTATAACAATATCTTGACGATTTGAACTGGCGCGCCGAGCGTGCTGATCAATAGCGCCTGTTATCACCTGTGACGTAGCGACCAACCTGCGCAATATCATACCTTGTATTCTTTGTACCATGGGATACAACATTTTAATAAACAGTGGTTTTCATAAAATCAATAAAATGGAAAATATATGAAATAGTATACATGTAGGTACTGATTTCTTTCGAAAATCGACAACTATGAAACTATGATCCCTTCCCGGACACAAACGGTACATTGTGAGACAGGAAATTGTAGAGAGAAACAAGCCCTATAACATAGGATACAACATTTTAATGAACAGTGCTTTCCATAAAATCAATAAAATGAAAAATATACGAAATAATATACATGTACTGATTTCTTTCGAAAATCGACAACTATGGAACTATGAACCCTTCCCGGACACAAACGGTACATTGTGAGACAGGAAATTGTAGAGAGAAACAAGCCCTATAACATAGGATACAACATTTTAATGAACAGTGCTTTCCATAAAATCAATAAAATGAAAAATATACGAAATAATATATGTACAGCCTGGTTACCATAAAATTGAATACGATTTAAAACTTATTTTTATTATTTCGGGCAGTATATTCTATGATACCAGTCCCCCATTTCTCTACTCATGTCATGCTGACATTCTGAAAAATGTATTTGCTACTTTGTCAAAAACAAAATCGTTTTATTCAATGTCACAATAAACTTAACATGTCAAAATACTTGACACATAAATATACAATATTCGAAAAAAATGGTCGTATTCATTTTTTTTGGAACCAGCTGTACATGTGTACTGATTTCTTTCGAAAATCGACAACTATGGAACTATGAACCCTTCCCGGACACAAACGGTACATTGTGAGACAGGAAATTGTAGAGAGAAACAAGCCCTATAACATAGGATACAACATTTTAATGAACAGTGCTTTCCATAAAATTAATAAAATGACAAATATACGAAATAATATACGTGTGTTAGCACAGCACCAAAAATGTATGAAACTATGTGGAATAATTGCCGTAAATTAGCCGTGAAACGCATTATCCCTGGAACGTTAGATATAATAACACATTTTACTTAAAGGGGAAGTTAAAGACAGTTGAAAAAGTTGGCCCATTGGCCTCTGTGAGCAATCCAGGTTGACCACAAAACCCCATTGGAAAAAGCGTTCATATCTAATAATAATAAAATTTTTAGCAATCCAAGTATGGAAATTTCAACAATATGGCAACAGCAGGTATACTTAGGTCAACATAGGTCCGATTCTGCTTTGTTTATTAACTATAGGGTGTTAAAATATTAATAATCCTTCTTATATTATTAATTTATTTTCAGAAAATCTTGTTTATTTTTCAAAGAAATATACTTGGCAACAGACAAAATGGGACTTGATGGGACCTTTAAATTTTAATATATCTGCGTCTCTCTCGCGAAATTCGACTTCTTTGTTCACTGTCGTCTCTTGTCTTATCTACTCTTTGGTTAAGTATTGATGTTGTTCAATTTAGTTAAAAAATCACTAGGTATAGTAAGCTTTAAAACACGCTTTTATGGCTAATCCAACTTAATGTGTAAAACATTTTTTTATTAAGTTTTATGCAATGACTAGAATGTTAACTAACTGCCGTAGTATTCGTAGTATCCTTGTGGTACTATTCAAGTATTTCTTCATAATTCATCGCTTTATTAAATTTTTGTAATAAAAGAAATAATCATTTAATAAATAGTTACAAAAATAATTTATTAAATTAACTTAATATAAATGTATATTATCTAAGACGAATTATTAGGTCGCAATAAAAACTGTATAATGACCATTAAATACGAAGTTATACTGCTAATCATGAGACCTAAAACTCTAAAATTGATATCAAAGAAACCTCCGGCCGATAGAGCCGGAATCCTTGTGTAACTCTGGTAAGCCATTAATTTCAACTCGTCTTGAACCAATTTCTCGTCATCGTTGCAAGGGGTTATCGATACTCTGTTGAGCAAGTAGAAACATATCCTTGTAGTTTTTTCGCCCTCTTTCTGTAATTGATCGCCATAAAACGAAAATAGAAACGTTTGTCCCTAAAAAATATTTTAGGGCGCTAATATTAATCTTTTCAATTTATCTGAAGAACAGTTGCGTGTTTTTATACCGGTGGAAAAGGTAAATCGATAATATTCAGTGGAGGCGCTAGACGAAATGCGGACATCATCTTTGCGAGTAGTGTTTATTGTTAATTTCGGACAAGTGAGCTGAAGTGAGGCTCTGAAATCTGAACAAAATCCGAAATTTGTCGAAAAATAAATTATGAATTTATTTAAGTATGTAAAGTTTGATTAACAAGAGAATACCACACAGTGAGAATAGTCTGTCATTTTAACTTACAGGTAAATTGTATTTTCTGTCAGTGTCTAGATGTTGTCCATAGATATTGTCTGACGATATATACATGTATTGATTTCTTTCGAAATTATGAACCCTTCCTGGACACAAACGGTACATTGTGAAACAGTAGGAAATTGTAGAGAGAAACAAGCCCTATAACATAGGATACAAGATTTTAATGAACAGTGCTTTCCATAAAATGAAAAATATACGAAATAATACACATGTACTGATTTCTTTCGAAAATCGACAACAGAACTATAAAACTATGATCCCTTCCCCGACACAAACGGTACATTGTGAAACAGGAAATTGTAGAGAGAAACAAACCCTATAACATAGGATACAACATTTTAATAAACAGTGCTTTCCATAAAACCAATAAAATGAAAAATATACGAAATAATATACATGTACTGATTTCTTTCGAAAGTCGACAATTATGAAACTATGATCCCTTCCCCGACACAAACGGTACATTGTGAGACAGGAAATTGTAGAGAGAAACAAGCCCTATAACATATGTTACAACATTTTAATGAACAGTGCTTTCCATAAAATCAATAAAATGAAAAATATACGAAATAATATACATGTACTGATTTCTTTCGAAAATCGACAACTATGGAACTATGAACCCTTCCCCGATACAAACGGTACACTGTGAGACAGGAAATTGTAGAGAGAAACAAGCCCTATAACATAGGATACAACATTTTATTGAACAGTGCTTTCCATAAAATGAGAAATATACGAAATAATACACATGTACTGATTTCTTTCGAAAATCGACAACAGAACTATAAAACTATGACCCCTTCCCCGACACAAACGGTACATTGTGAAACAGGAAATTGTAGAGAGAAACAAACCCTATAACATAGGATACAACATTTTAATAAACAGTGGTTTTCATAAAATCAATAAAATGGAAAATATATGAAATAATATACATGTAGGTACTGATTTCTTTCGAAAATCGACAACTATGAAACTATGATCCCTTCCCGGACACAAACGGTACATTGTGAGACAGGAAATTGTAGAGAGAAACAAGCCCTATAACATAGGATACAACATTTTAATGAACAGTGCTTTCCATAAAATTAATAAAATGACAAATATACGAAATAATATACGTGTGTTTAAGTTAGCACAGCACCAAAAAATGTATGAAACTATGTGGAATAATTGCCGTAAATTAGCCGTGAAAACGCATTATCCCTGGAACGTTAGATATAATAACACATTTTACTTAAAGGGGAAGTTAAAGACAGTTGAAAAAGTTGGCCCATTGGCCTCTGTGAGCAATCCCGGGTTGACCACAAAAAAACCTATTGGAAAAAGCGTTCATATCTAATAATAATAAAATTTTTAGCAATCCAAGTATGGAAATTTCAACAATATGGCAACAGCAGGTATACTTAGGTCAACATAGGTCCGATTCTGCTTTGTTTCGTAACTATAGGGTGTTAAAATATTAATAATCTTTTTTCGATTTATTACAATTTTCTATCAAGTACTTTTAGTGATTCGAATAAAATTTTGAGAGTAAGTGTAGATAAATTCATCAGGGACGTGCATATGGGTTATCACTGGAATATTTAAAAAAAAAACATGTGCGCAACTGACTTTTTTTTCTTTTGATATCAAAATTGTGTAGACCGTTTAATGCCAATTAAAAGTTTTTTCGTGATATTTTGTCTAATTCGACCTCCTTGATGAGATAAACGCAATTTTATTAATAGCGATTAATAAAATTAAAATAAAAATAAAATTAATAAAGTATATGTTATACCTAATTTATTATTAAATATTAGTCTGTTGTCCAACCTACAGCAATTTGAAATAAAAAAAATAGATTTTTAAGATAATTAGAAAAACCTAATTTTAAAAAATTTTAACATCCTGTAACTCTAAAACTATGCATTTCCCAGTGGCGTAACAACAGACTCACGGGTCTGTGTGCAAAAATTTTACCGGGCCCCCTATTACACCTACATATTTCAATACTTATATTATATACTAATCTGAATAATATGCACTCATATTTTAGGTTAGAAATAACATTATCAAATTAATTTTTATATAGTAATATTTATTACTGCAACACAGAATACGTAACTCAAAACATATAAAATATGAAATATATAAAAAAATAAATAAAAACAAAACAAAAAACAACAAAACTAACTAAATTAAAATAAACAATGTAAATAGGAACATGAACATGTTAAAATTCTTTTTTCCTTGCTTTAGCATGGGCTGTACGGGCAACTTCATTTTCTAATTGAAATAATTGCCAAAGCTGATAACCGTTTTTCGCCCATAGTATTTCTTAAATAATTTTTGACAAGCTTTAATTTGGAAAAAAATCTTTCAGCCGAGGCCACAAAAACAGGTATGGTGAAAAAAATATGACACGCTGTTAAAATCTCGCTGAAACTAGAAGACGATGAAAGATTTTTAATTAAAATAAATTCAGTGAGTTCAAAAATGCAATTGATTTCATATAAATTATTTCGGAAACATTGCCTGAAGGAGAGTAATTGAGAAGAAATCCTATAGGCAATATCATCGGGGTATTTAAGGTATAGAACCTGACCTATTTCATATGTATCCTCATCAGAAACAGAAGGATTCTGCTTGATTCGCGATAGCATGTGAGAGATATGAAAATGCGGCCCGGGCCCGTGTGCTTCGCACACACGGCACGTCGATAGTTACGCCAGTGGCATTTCTATACCCATGTTTATAGGCACTTTTTTCATATTTTTTGACGAGGAATCAATGAGTACTTATTTGAAACTTTCGCAAGTAAATATTATTTTTTTTAAAGGTTGCTATTAGACTTGGATCAAGACAAATTAATAAAATTGCGTTTATCTCACCAAGGAGGCCGAATTCGACAAAAATATCAAGAGACAACTTTTAATCGGCATTAAACTGCTTACACTATTTCGCTCACAAGTGGAAAAAAGTCAGTGGTGTACATGATTTTTTTAGAAAAATATTCCAGTGATAAGTGATAACCCATATGCAATTCTAAGTATGCAACGTCCCTGTGAATTTGTCGACACTTTTGTAGCTTTAAAATATGTCGCATTTATAGTAACTTTTACCTTCAAAATTTAATTCGAAACGCTAAAAAAGTACTTGGAAGAAAATTATAATAAATCGAAAATTTATTAAGACTTTAACACCCTGTAGCTACGAAACAAAGCAGAATTGGACCTATGTTGATATGAAAAATAAATCTTATTTTTACGTGAGCAATCTCCTCATGAGAGATGGCACATGTTTTTTGAAACACCCTGTATAAACTCAGATTAGTTAGTTCTTATATTGTATATTAGACTTTATACATTCATACCGAAACGTTGTGTACGCAAAATAAATAAAGACAATGGAAGTCCGAAATTCTTTTAGTTTCTATAAAAATAGTATAAGACTCTTTTCTTAGGGTTTATCTTCAATGATCATATACAGTTAATGTTAATTAAATCATGAGAAAAACTGTGACAAATATTCATAACATCCTAATGTCTCAAAACTAATTACTACTTACTGCTTACTGTGTCTCTCTATACTACAATAAATATGGATATCAAAAGAACATTAACTCGAAAGACTTGTTAGCGAGACCCTAGCGCCGCCACTGATAATATTAGTATACTTACAACGTTAGCGAATATCCAGAACCCGATAATACCAAGGAAATAGCCCCATAGTCTACGTTGTTCAACGCTATTTATGTTGATACAGTAATCTATAACAAATGTAACTTTGGCAAGCAAGTTTGCGATGTTGAAAACGACGGAGCTCAAAATTATCCTTCCGAACATATCATTATACGTTTTCACGAGGTTACACAGATCGTAGTGCATAATACGGAAAGTTCTAACACTGTAAAAATGTTCAGAGCTCATGATAAATGCCAGATTCTCTTGCTCAGTCAGCTGGATGTTTCTTCTTCTTGCCGCGTTGCTTTTCAGGAAACTTTCAGTTTTGTATTGCAAAATTTCGTTTAATTCGGCAAATCTCAGCTCAAGTTTCCGAGCTAGGGCTAGACAGAGAAGTAGCACAAAATTGTAAACGTAGAATTCTAGGTCTCTAAAAATAATATACTTGTAGTAAATCCATCCGAAATTGGCTAGAAAGAACCAAGCGTTGAGCGCGATCAGACTACCGATACATAGGTTGCATAAGAAAAAGTTTCTCCAAAAATGGTTCTTCTTCATGGCGAGTAAGGGTACCAGGAGTTTGTTTCCTTCGGGGTATAAGGTGGTGAAAAATTCGTAGAAGTTTTCACCGTTTTTTGGCAGGTATAATATAGTGATGACGATACTGGCGGTAAGGAAGAAATTACTGACGTATTCCATGGTTTGAAGTACAGGATGGTATTCTTCAAATTCCTGTTGTTTTCCTGAGACGCAGTAGCCATATCCGTATAACACCAAAACTAAATTTTAACAATCATAAAACGACGACTTAAATCCATGATCGAAAAAAAAACGGCGTCCAGTTGGTTTAAAATGACAGCTATCTTCATTTCATAGCCATCGTTGACGCCGTTTTTTTTCGACCATATTGTATTTATTTCTTATTTTAAACAATTTGAGTTGGAACCTTTGATGCTACATATTAAATCTACCATAACATACATTAATTTTGCAGTTTTAATATCTTCCGATGATGCTAATATAGTTATCGAAATATGATTCTAGAGTTTAAAATAAATGTATGGTAGATTTATTGATTTTGGAGTCCAAGGATAAGTATTCCAATTTTTATACTGATTTGCTGCGCTTTCCTCATTTCGTTACTGAGAAAATTTTGTAGATAAAATTAATAGCAATTATGATTTTCGTCCAGTTGTTTTGATAATGTTTGATGTTGTCTGACAGAATGACAGAATTTTGATGTCTGAGAAAATCGTCCCTTTTTTTGCTGGACTACATGGATGGAGAGTTAAGAAATGAACAATTTTTGTATTTAAAGTATTTCAAAATTTTTAATGGTTTCGCACAGGGTTGGCATGATTTAAATCAAATGATTTAAATCATGATTTAAATCAAATGATTTTTTTATATATTTTTTATTAATATCTACTAATTTCATTCTGAACTTAAGAGTATTTCCGAACAATAGTGTATTGTTTTATTAGGAGTAAAAATTATACATTTTTTGATGATACTGTATCTTTGAAGGACCATCGTAAAGCTATTCCGACGTTACAATGAAGCACAAAAAGTACATTTTTACTCCTAGTAGAACATACATACTATTTTTTTAAAACATTACAAATCATTTTTAATCAATTTCAAACATTGCAAATAATATAAACAGCAATCGAGCAACAATTTGTACGCTCGTTGAATTTGACACTTATTATTTTTTTTTGTTTAATAATATATTTTTGTACTTTTGTGCTTAGGCGTAACAGTGCTTTACTTTTATATCTAGAAGATATCTAGGCGTTAAAATGACAAAAATTAATACTTTTGAGACGTTTGAAAAAAATCCTTTTGATCTGAAGCGAGCGACTTTTTTGCGAAATATATTGGTGACCGATGTGGAAAAATGACAAAACGCACCCTAGAATTATTAATGTTATGGATAACGGACAGAGTTATAAAGATTTAGCCATTTAGGATAGGACTTTAATTGGAAATAAGTCCTAGTCATTTGAAAACCCAATTTAAATATTGTTTTGAATTAAAATAAAAAAAATCTGATTTAAATCAAATAAATCTGTTTTTTTTTATTTTTTTAAAAAAATCATGATTTTTTCCAACCCTGGTTTCGCAGATACACGCAGTATTTCATATGGCTCTTTCAGCGGTAAAATACTAGACAAGAATCATTAGGTAGCTTTAATAAAAATGTACAGGGTGTCCCACTAAGAATAGCTCTCGGTTGTATCTCGGAAAGTATTAGTCATAGGGCTTGCGGAAAATTATTTTTAAGTTTGTAGAGCGGCCGCTAGAGGGCACAACTGCTATGAAAAAAAAAGAACATGGATTTTTTTCAAAGTTTTGACTAGATATGGATCTTTTTTGTTAGAACCGTTTTCTCCTATCTGCTAAAATAAAATGGTGGGGGAAGGTTAGATATGTTTTTGTTTAAATATTAATAACTCCAGACTGGGTCGGGAACGGAATCCAACAAACGGAGGCTCGATTAAAAGAGCGTTTCTAAAAGCAAACCGCACAAGTCGGCGTTTACGAAAAATGTTGCATCTAGGGATGGAACTTTATTTTTCACTATTAGTTATTCATTTTACTACAACTGGAATAGATTATATTTAGTTTGGATATATTATCATCATTTCAGTAATATACATGACACATGAAATTTATTAAAATAGCTTTAATTTTTTTCTACACACGTTTTCCTACAAACGTAAAAAACCGGCAACACTGTATGCCGCTTTTGATTTTGTCTCTCTGTCTGTCAACCGGTCATTTATATTATTCTGTCACGCGCATTAAAATCCAGACTACGTAAATTGGATGACCAGCAGGGTATAACGGAAATTTTAAGTATCCCATAAAAAGAATGGCATTAAAAAGCGAAAAAAATACTTCCGGTAAAGGTAAAATTAAAAGTTGTTACAGGCTTCTACCACAAACCTAGATTTTTATCTAGGTATGCCATAGATTTTTATCTATAGTTGCTATTTTTTTTCACTTTTAACTTTGTTTGAAATGAGGTATTCTATTAGAAAACAGGTACTTACTAAGACATCCATTAATCTGACAAATACAGAGATACAAATATCTCAACAAAACTGCGTCAAAATACAAATCAGCATAAAAATCGGATAGGTGCATATCGTATCCAATAAAATTATACGTAAAATTAAACTCACCTAACAAAAAAATTGTCACAGGGTAAACAATTTTTCTTTGTTTAATTAACAAGAAGAACTTCTTTAAATAATTGTATTGGAAGCGGTACTTTTTCTTTTTGAACATGTGCGGCTTTTCGGCGGGACTCACTCTACTACTATTCATATTTCTTTAACTGACCAAAATAAAGTTCTTAACGTACGTAAGAGGGTCGATTGGCGCGAATACATTTTTCTAATTCGTTTTTTGCGTGACCGAAATGTTTGTCTTTTAATTAGAACGGGAGTGATAAACAAAAGAAATTAGATCACTTTAACGAAAGGGTTTTCAACCCTGATTAAATTGATTTAAAGAAGGTAAAGTAAAAAAAAAGTGTGTGCACTATGTGCGCATATTTGAAGTGAAACTGCTTACTTCCGTCTGTCTGTCCGTTTGAGGACTCCATTCAGGTATCTATATCCACGTGCCGAGTTTGGTTCAAATCGACCCATAATTAAGAAAAATCCTGATGATTTCGTCCAATTAAAGCACTTAGACTCTTAGACATAAACGGCCTACACAAGTAACGATTTATCGTCCGTCGAAACTGCCGCATTAACGATAAATCGTAACGTGTGTAGGGAAATTGGATGGTTTGCAGTATGCAGTCGTCAAATCGTTTGCAGTATGGAGCTTCCGTAAAATATCGTATTAGCGCGCTACGATACGCGCAGTTACGATATAATTTTTATTTATTTTTGGGTTAATCAATATTATGGATTTAAAAAATAAGACGTTCTGGAAAGACTTTATTGATTTATATAGAGAAAAAAGATGCATATGGGATGTGAAACCACTTTTTACACCATTTTCGCTTTTTGATTTCTTTTTGTTCGTCATCTTCATCTATCAACAATACCGCAGCTACAAGCACGGCAGCTTTCTTCTTTGAAATTCTTGGCATAACGGTAGCCCTTCTCGACGAAAAGTGAATAATCTGAACTGCGGCAGTACAACGTGTTGCATCGTGTGTACAAAAAATGGCTGTACTGCAAGCCGTACGATTTTCTTTACGATCTGCAGTTCAACGCGCAGTACGATAAATCGTTACGTGTGTAGGCCGTTATAGAGATTACATACATATTAGAGGCATCGGTTTGAAACGTCGAGGGCATCATCCTCTATAGCCAGAACTGCCGACACTCGAAATTGTATATCCGCTAGATTCGCATTTAAAAACTGCTAGAATCCGCTAGACATTGAAACTTAAATTTTGCCATATCGTCTATTTCTGATCTTTTGGCATTTTTGGTAAGGCTCTCATCACGTGATGAAGCTAGGGTCGCCAGATTGTTATAGCTAAATACCGAGAGGGCAAGAAAAGCACGAGCAAAAAAAAGGCGAAGCTCTAAAAAAATGACCACACCACAACCCCCTTTTATTCCACATTTGCCAGAATACTGTGTGGAAACTAAATTAAAAAGGGGTGTTGAGAAGAATACACTAAAATCCTTATTATTTATTTGTATCGATATTCTATACCATTCCTATTACCACATTACTATAGATAGTTGACAGATAGATTTTGTGACTGCATGTACGCTTCAAGTAATGCATAAATAAATAGTTAATAGTTGTTAAACCACTGCGTATTTCTTAAAAGAACGAAACTAAATCAATGATGGAATAATATTAAGCATAAGTATGTATATAATGTTTTTTCTTTGTGAACTTTATACCATTTTTCCGGGATACGAGACAACATACCAAAATTCGGGATATTTCCGGAAATCATTAGGTGGTGACTAATGGGACAAATTTTTGAAAAAATCGTTGTTTAAAATTTATGTAATAATTTTTGTGTCAATTTTGCACATTTATTATTCAAACATCAAAACCGCTAGCCGCTAAATGATTTTTTCCCGCTAAACCGAAAAAAAAACACTAGATCTAGTGGGAAAACCGCTAAGTTGGCAACAGTGCCCGTTAGCCCGTCCCCAATCCCCAATTATGCCGAAATCGACCCGCATTTTTTATCAATATCAAATCCTTGATGAAGATATAAATAAACGAAACGCCGTATTCAAATTTGCAGGGTGGGACAGCGTGCATCTGACATAACCTACCCACCAAATTTGGTCGCAATCGGACGGCATCAAATTTTGATGTTTCTTACGTCAAAACTGTCACAGTGACACGTGTCGTATATGGTTAAGTTGGCTTTGATCCAATCTATCAACATACCAAATTTTATTTAAATCGGGCGATTTTTTTATTTGATTCATTAATGATGGTGTCTCGTAGTGCATGAAACGTCAAAATATGAAAATCTCCGAGCCGAAAAAGTTTGGCGGTCGACGCGGAGTCGAAGTGATTGATACTATTATTTTAGTACAAGGGTATAGTGGAGGGAGATTCGTTCGAGATGCTTTCGTTTCAAAAGTCAGACGACCCGTGTGAGGACGCTCTAAGTCTTTTGAATCGGTAAATGTCATAAGTGTCAATATTGTCTCTACTGTCGAATCAAGAAAAGTTGCAAAGTGTGAATGTAGCTTTAGGCTTATTTTGCTTTGATGGACACAGGTTCATACAAGACAGGTAATCTCCAAAAATGCTAATCCAGATTGTAGATTCAGTTATTAAATAAAGTGCATTTTTATAAAAAAAAGCCATTAAAAATACTTGTAAATATTTTTTATTTACTGCACGTTGATATAGTGTAGAGCTAGTATTAAACGAAAGTATGTTTATATATTTATTAACTACAATTAATATAAAATTCATTAATAATTTTAATCATTAAAAAAAGTTGAATTAAGATGTCTACAATTATTACACATACTAATTAATTAATTAAATTAGTCACTTATATCTTTAATTAGCTAAATTTTCTATTCTTAGCTTGAAGGTGGCGGTGGAGGCGGAGCTGTCAATAAACTAGTGACGTCCAAGCCAGGAGGTGGTGGGGGTATAGATGGAGGGATTCCGGTAGGCCAAAATGGGGGTGGGGCTCCAGGAAAGTCTCCTAGAACAAACATTTTGGATTAATACCGATGTTAAAAAATTATAACAACTTAGATATGTATCTGTTGCTTTATCAGTAAAGGTTATGCTGTCAATCATTTAGATCTCAGCCCCGAAAGATGGTATAAAACATCATGTTGGACAATCGGAAACAGTTATTAAGTTTCTCTATTCTAGTGAATTTTTTGAAAAGATATTCAAATTCATTTTAGAACATTTTGATCTTATTACATAAAGACTGATAACTTTTTTGTTTTATTGTGTTTCTGTGTTGTATTGGGATAAATATTATTATTAATACTACTATAGATACTAACCTGGTGGTCCCCATGGTGGCCCTCCAGCTCCTGGTGGTGGTGGTTGTCCCGCCCACGGTGGTAAAAGAGAAGGCGGTGAACTAGCACCTGAAAAAATAAGTTTGTTATAAATTCCTTTTTTTAGTCTCAATGTTTACTTCAATATGCACAAATAATATTTATTAGCTCAAGAAGCTCTTGTAGTAAAACATGGAAATGTAATTTAATGTAGATGTTTTAAAAAGACGATAATATGCCACAATGATAGCAGCAAAATTTTAATGAAGTTTTCTTTATCCTACACCTTTGAATAAAAAGATTAAGGAAGGAGTATAATGCTATCCATGTATTCATGCAAGGGCCTTAGGGTGGGGATCCTTGACAGTTCTCTTTGACACATTTGAATTTGATGAAATTTTGTGGATTTTTCAGTTTTTACTGAGCTTATTTTATGTTATTTGTTATTTATTCTACTCCTGATAGTTGTTTAAAGGTAGTAAATCTAGAAGAAAATTGTAGCAGAACTTAAGTTAACAGTGACACTATTGCGATTTATCAAAAGACTGTAAAATAGTTGGTTGTGTAGCGTGCGGTAGATCTCGGTCAAAAATCGAGGGAAATAATGGAATAACTTTTTGCTAGTAAGTGACTATATATTATACATACATGTAGTAAACCAATCATTTATGAAATTCGCTTAAAATTAACTAATTTTATATTTTTTCTTGCCTTTTTGCTTTTACTTACTACTTGTCAAAGAATTTAGATACGCCAATTTGATTTACCTGCTTCAGTCCAAACCAAAATTGGTGCAGGCTCGCCATTCGTGGGCCCAGAACCGACACTTAGCGTTCCTAAAAATCTCGCAAGACACAGGCTCTGTGAATGGGTTAGGAGTGAGACGTTCCGGGACTGGAATGACAGTCCCGGAATGGAACATGCCAAGAAAATCCTAGCAGGGCCATCCAAACATAGAACAGGAGAACTTCTAAAGGCCGGTAGGAATGGAACGCGTGTGCTCACTGCAGTGTACACGGGCCACTGCCGGCTGAGATCTCACCTACAGAGGACGGGACTGGTGGAAGACGCCGAATGCCGACTCTGTATGGAAGATGATGAAACAATGAAGCACGTTATATGTACCTGCCCCGCTGGGAGCAGGACCAGGTTTGAGATGTTTGGCAAACCCATGCTAGACCTATCAGACCTAGGCGACATATCGCCCTCAGACATAACGGCTTATATTAAGAGGCTGGGTCTTCAGGATGAACTTTGACGCTTTTGTAAATTAGAGCTTGTAGAAACTGAGCCACAATAGGCCCTCGCGGCCTCGGTGGAGGGTCCCCTATGGGACCCATTAAATACAATACAATACCTGCTTCAGTAGCGTACCGGATGTTTGTGTTAATAAATAAATATTATAACTTATCTATTTCTATTAGAATTGTATATTTTTATAACAATTTTAATACCTACCAACATTTATTGACAACGTAACATAAAACAACAAATTACTGAGTCTATCCCATGTCTACCCTCCATCATATTTTGAATAAAATTAGAACGGCACTGATAAACCGAATTTAAGTCGACCATTCTGGGACCTCAGAATTTTCTAAGACCTTCAGATTTTTGATATGCTTCTTTCTTAATCTTTTTATTCAAAGGTCTACACAAAAATGTAGCCAATATCTGCAGGTATTATAGAAGTCTGAAAGGTGAGTACCTGCACTAACATAACCTTCATGTAGAACTAAAAACATTAAAATTTGTAGCTATTTTCATTGTGTTCTTAAAATATCTCTGTTGAATATATATTTTAACTTAGCTTACCTGGGGGTGGTGGAGGAGGCGGGAGACCGGGTGGACCCATGGGCGCTGGACACCAAGGTGCCCCCCATGGAGGAGGAGCCATCGGCGGTGCTCCTGGTGGGGGCATAAGAGGTCTAGGAGGCGCTGATGCCGTGAAAACGTTGAATGCCGGTCGCTTAGCCACATTTTGGTCTATAACAAGGTAAATATTTTTATAAGAGATGCTATTGGCAAATTATAAATGGTTTAATTTGCCAATAGCATCTGTTATATTATTTATTTGCCACTTTGCGATAGTTTTTAGTGTAAAGCTTCATTGAGAACCTCGCAATTAGTGGTTTCAATTAGCGTAGAAGTTTGTCCCTTTAATTTCAATGTGAGCATTCAGAACGTCAAACTTAGTAGTAGACATTTTCAATTAGTAGAAAAAATTATCGAACTTTTAACTCTTCCACTAATTATACTTCAAAATTTGCGAGAAATGTCATTTTGCTTATTTTCCGTCAAGAGAAACAATTATTGTGGTAAGAAATCAAGTTGATTGTTTTATAAGCTAAAATTTGGCTTTCTCTATGGATACAGCTGACTAACCCAAGCTGTTGCTAAGATATTATATTAATTTTAATAATTTTTTTAAACATTGTGAATGATCTTAAACTACCGTATGATCGAATAAAAACGGTGTCAGCGATGGCTATGAAATGAAGATCGCTGTCATTTTATATGTAAATTTATACGGGAAATGTCATCGATCGTCATTTCCAAGCCAACTGGACGCCGTTTTTATTCAATCATACGGTATAAAGTGTAATTGAAACCACTAATTTATTCCACTAATTGCGATGTTCTGAATGAAGCTTTAGTTTTTACCAAATTTATTGCAACATTCGATATATAATTTTTAATAGAAATTGCTGACTTACCTCCATTGGGTGCTGGCGGCGGACCTTCACCTAATTCAGCCATAAGCGACATATATTCTGCAACAAATATAAAGTATTAACACTTTCATTCCATAATATACATTACACACTACTATGTAAAAAAATATCAGTAAAGGTTATGCTGTCAATCCTGTAAACTTCAGCCCCGAAAGATGGTATATAGCATCATATATAATAACAAAATATTAAAAAAATTTGCTCACTAAAATCAACAATTAAATTTTCTTACCTTCATCAATCTTTGCTTGTTCGGAGGGCAAAGGTGGTCCTCCTTGACCGGGTCTCTTCGATCTACAATCCTTAGCAATGTGTCCTGCGGCACCACAACTAGAGCACACAATGTTGTTTGTGACGTTTGGCTTATCTGGGCACTAAAACATAATATGAATAATGAATTTTATATATACAGCTACAAAAAATTATTAATTACCAGCCAAGACTTGTGGTCGATCGCGCCACAATTACTACACCTCATGCCATCATTCTCTCTCAAAGTACCATTCAACTGTGCTAATTCTCTCAGCTGCATCCTTCGTAAGTCGTTCTGATTTTCCGGTACTTCAACGCCTTGTCTGATAACTTCTTTAATCTGAAAAATTAGAAATAATATTATGACATCATAATATATTTATGGGATTAAGTTCCATGTTTCTTCTTAGTTGCTATCAGAGTTAGGTAGGGTGAATATGCCAGTGGTCAGACAGTTTACAAAAAACTGAGTTTAAATTGTTGATTAAATTTTCTTTATTGGTGGCATGGAAATGAATTTTAATTTTTTTAAAATAACTGTAAATATGTAATAGCAATCAAAATACGCCTTAGGCGTGTTTTGGTTGCGTTTGTTGGTCTCTAGTTTTTTTTTCTGTTTAGATTGCACGCGAAATACCCGACCGATTATCGTTTATGCGCGCGCAGAACTGCGAAATTAAGGGACAACAAACGGCAACATTGATGGGTATGCGAGTTGACTAGCGGGACGTTGAAGCTAGTGGACAGTGCAAGCTCTAGTTAAAACAACTTCTGATTCCATTCGTTTGCAAACGTCGCTTATTTGCCTTTAACACGGGCCTGTACTGTTGACTTCGAACCCTGTACTGACTGCATGTTTTACGCGATTTTCCCTCTTCTCAGACTGTTCGGATTGTTTTTTTCTAATGCACCTTTATTGTATTGATGAAAATTCCCTTTTACTGTAGGTTTCATGCTTGAACATAACCAAAATCTCAAAAAATATCAGTCTGAACTCTGCAATATGACGTCAAAAAGGGGCTACTGTCCGACCTCTCAAATAAATTAAATTAAGCATTGACCACATTTAGTAAGACAACTTTTATTTCCTTTGATCTGCGTTTGAATTGAGTTTTTGCAGTACAACCACTAAACACTACAAAAAATTCATATTTCAAAAGAAAAAGAGAGTAGATAATTATCGAAAAAAAATCATAAATTAGATAAAAAATTTTAACTTACCTTACAAACTATCTCACTTCAAGTTTTAACAGGCAAAAATTAGGAAACACAAACATGTGGTCACTTTCTCGAATTATTAACAGTTTCAGGGTGACAATTTAGGCAAAGGAAATGTTATAGAACCAAGCGGAAGAATTGGCAGAATTAGGTTTTTAATTATTTGAAGCAATACTAAATTCTATATATAAACCATGTTTTTAACTTATTTCCCAATAAATACGTTTTGTCCGACCACTGGTGTATGTCCAACTACTGGCGCATTTACCCTACTTTTTATCTATTATAATGAGTAAAACAACCAGACAATATTAGATTTAGGTAATTTAGTTGTTTCAGCAGTATCTGTATTCTTATTACTATTTAAAATTATATATTTTTAAAAATATTATCGTTATTAGTCAGGGGAAAAAGCTTACCTTTTCGACTGCTTTCTTTACACACTCTGGGTTAGTAGCGGTAATATAAGCATGTAATGGTTCATCTTCACCAGGCAACGGCTGACCATCCTTTCTCCCAACTTTGCCTTCCTTCACACTTCCTTTTCCTCTTATGATTATCTTGGCCCCAGTCTCTTTTTCCATCGCTACAAAAAATATGATTAAATATACAATTTTACTACGGTTTTTACAAAAAAATCATTGAAATATTCCTCAGAATTAGGTATGTTATCAATCTTTTTGATTCTCAGCCCCGAAAGATGGTATAAAACATCATATAAAAAATATTAAAAATAATATATCCTAAACATATTATACAAAATGCTTACTTTTTAATGTATTGCCTCTTGGCCCAATTAATAAACCTACAAAGTTTATTTCGGGATGTTCTTCTTGTGGAATCATAACTTTGTCACTTACTCTTGTAACAGGGGGTCTAAAATATATACAGAAATTAATATTATTTCACAGATATATTAATTTATAAAAAAATAACAGGGGATCTTTGTATAGCAAAACGAATTTGTAGTGTAATGGGTTTAACTACCATGTATTTTATTAGTTAGAGGTCGTACCGTCGGGTGCAAAAAAATCATGATTTAAAAAAAAATCAAAAAAATTGTTTTTTTTATTTTATTCAGATTTTTTTGATTTTAATCAATTTTCTATTTAAAGACCTATCCTAAATGGTTAAATCTTTGTAACTATGCCCGATATTGACAATATTAACATTTCTACAGCGCGTGTCGTTTTTCCAGATTGGTCACAGATATATTTTATTCTGTAAACTTTGCCATTGGCCCTATTTTCGCAAAAAAAGATTTTTTTTGGAAGTCATGATTAAGAAACTAAGGTAATAATACTAAGACTCTTCTAAATCGAGAATAAAATTAGTACCATCTAATGTTCAAAGTGCAAAGTACTTATTGCAGAACAAAATGTCAGTGGAAATTTGGAATGAACTAGAAGATAAATTAGGGAAAACGGAAGTTAGCCTGATCAACATTTAGCTGTTTCAAAAAGGTATAAAACAGCCTCGACTCTAGTTTATCTTTTGACATTGATTAGTTCTCGGGAATAAAAATATAACCAGACATCGCAAGAAACTAGTTCTGCACTAGAGTTTGCGAATGAAATGTATTCAAATACCGGATTTCTGGCAATTCACAATTTCAAAATAAATCTCTTTCAGTTAGAAGTGTATGGATTCATACGAAATAACTTCAAAAATCGTTCCAACATTTTAATAGATGAATAGATATTAAGGATATGTGTTATATGTTATATCTTTAACAATTATTTTTCGATCTTTAAAGTATTTAAACGTTACAACAGCAAGTGTGACTTTGTACTTATTTGATTAATAGATATAGTGTATATTTAATAAGGAATACTTTTTTTATAGCTTTACAGAAAAAGTTTTTTTTTAATTTTTACAGTTGTCTTTCGATTTATATTAAGCTTTTAAACAAGTTGATTATTTTGATTTAAATCCATGATTAAAATTTTAAAAATCCGTTGATTTAAATTAGGATTTAAATCTAGATTTAAATCAAGTTGATTTATATCCTTACACCCTGCGCGTACATGTATTTATGCTACTATTTTTTGAAACTTACTTGTAATCTGCCGGCGGCTTAAATTCTGTGTTGATCGCTTGCATTCGCATAACCAAAGCATGTCTTTGCTCTTCCAACTTCTTTCTAGTTCTAAATTCCCTGGTGTTCAACCGTTTGCCATCACTGCTATAAATTGGCTCCGGAGATGGCGATCTGTCAAAATAAAGAAAAACATACATACTTCCTGTTCTTTATGGCTTTTTGCCGTAGATAACATAATAAAATTTAAATTGTATTAATATATATTTTTAAATCTTTTATAGAATACTACGACAAAAAGCATATTTTCCCCTTCAAGTGTGATTCATAACTATCTTAAAACCAGGTAATAAATATTATATTTTTTCCAGTGATCTGTTTCCTAAACATAAATATTATTTGCTGTAAAGTTAAAAAATTATTAATATGCTGGAAATAAAAAAAAAATTAATATTCTTTTATTAGCTATTGCCTGAAAACGAACTTCAATTATTGCTGAAAAACAATTTATTAGCAAATTATTATGTCCTCAAAAAACTGGAAGAAGCTTAGAATTTCTATCTTTTTTTATATACTTTTTTTCTAAAACAGATAGTTTATGTTAGTTTCCTATACTAGCTGGTTTAAATAAAATTTCCATGATTTTATAAAGACAAGAACAGAAACTAAAGAGATCTAAATATATTTGTAATTAAATATAAAATTATGGAAATTACAATAATAAACATCCAAAATATATTTTAAAGGTCATAATATATTTTAGATACTTTTTAAAGATGAACTTTTTATAACATCTACTTATTCTACACAATAGAGCATTGATCTCTTATTAACATATTCTAGATACGAATCCAATATAAGAAATAAATAATTTGTTAAAAATGGTTACAGAATGAAACTGAATGCAACTGAATTCAATTTCATTTGTAAAATGTTATTCAGGGTCAAGGTATCAAGGTTGTAATATATTTTTTATATTATTGTCAATCACATTTTATGAAGAAATTTTTAGAAAAGTTATTCTTTAATTCAAAAAAGCACAAAATATGCTTTAAAAAACAAACAGGTATTATAGTTTATCTGTAAAACTTAGTATATTAATAAAAATTCATCTTCTGTTTAAACCAACAAACACTAAATTAAGAAAAAATAAAATAAAAAAATAAACTGTTTGATGGGGATATGAGATAACTGAATTCTTTGTTGCCAAACCACTATTTTAGATTCTCAGTCTCGAACAATGGCTCGAAGTACATGAATAATTGACTGGAACCATCACAAATAGGCGTAACTATAGAAACTCTGGCCCCATCTGACGGATGGGACAATTGATGTATCACAAACCTTTCTTCTGGGTTGGCTGGGATCCCTAGGTCGCCTGAACGCAATTTTCTACTGACTTCCTCGATCTGCAGTTGCACTGAAATGAAACGGGTTAGAGAGGGCAATTGCCCCATTGTTAGAATTTATTACTTTAAAAAAAGGTATCAATGATAACAAGACAATACAAAATTGTGCCATACTTTTATATAAAATGTTTTCATATACATATTTTTTTAAATTAATTTACTACACACTTCCCATGTCTCTAAAAATGTTGAAGTAAATCCTGCTTCAAAAGTTAAAAAAATTATAACAAAGTGTAGAATTAGCAGTACTTACAGGTTTATAAAACATTTTTTTAATTTTCCACTGGGTTTTTAAATGTTCTCTCGTATTATACCTACCAATATTATGCAAATATAATGGAATTTTTAACACATTAAAACTTAATAACCAATACAATTAAAAATAGAATTCAACTATTAAACTTACATAAATAAGCTTGTTCCTGGTCCTTGTTCAAGTTGGGTGGCAATATTGTCGGCATGCCAGGAATAAATATCTTTTCATGTTCACCACCAGCCCATCGAGATCTCTTCTTGCGTTTCCTCTCAGCAGCCGAGTCAGATTCTTGACTACCTAAATGTCAAATTCAGCAATTATTAGAGTATTTTCATACTTATTTACATATAGATTCTTTCTTATACCTGTGCTATGGTTAGAATTTTCTCCTTGTGCTTGCTGAATTAAATTGGCAAAATTTCTTGATGCTGCTAGGGTGGCCAATGTATCTTGAATAAGTTTTTCTCCATCTGGCTCCTCTGGTGTTCTTTCACGTTTACGAGGCGGACTTCTACTACGACTTCGACCTCTATAACGATCCCTAGACCTGGAAATCAAAAATATACTTATGGTGTAACAAATACTTAAAATATGAAATATAAAGTGGCATAAATAATTGATAAAGTACAAACCTATCTCTATTCCTGTGACGATCTCTATCACGATCCCTAGATCGACGTCTCTTGTCTCTATCCCTATCACGATCACGATCCCTATCACGGTCGCGGTCCCGATCCCGATCTCTGTAACTGTCTCTTTCCCGATCTCTATCTCTAGAACGATCTCTGTGACGCGAAGATCCCATTGTACACAATAGTTTTGACTATAAAACCGACTAGACTTACTTAAACTACTTATTTAAGTCTTTGACGACACAAGCAGAAGAAAACGTGAAATTCACTGAGAAAAAATGGCGAAGCAAGACACAAAATGGCCACAAGCGAAGTCACAAACGACTTCCGGCTAAAAAATGTAAACGTCACTTAGCTACAGATTATGATTATTATTCATGACATGACAACTACTTCCTGTGATATTTTTATCGAATTTTCGGATATGATTTCTTTGTATCATATATAATTTTGTCCTTTGACAGTATTTTGACAATTTATGTGACAGTGACAGCTAGAACTGCTGTTTGACAAATAAATAGAAAACCAATATTATACCAATATAGAAATATTTTTGTTGTTTCTATAATGTGTGGTGGTTTTACTTGTTCTAAAAACGCTTTAATAGCGTTAAATGTGTTGTATATTGTAAGTAGTACTATTTCTAACATAATTATAAGAAGGAAGAAGTCGAAGAAGTAATTACGTCTGTCTTTAGGTTGTGGCCTTTATTCTAATTGGAGTGGCTGTATATGGCAGGGCAGCATCTTTGGTAACAAATTTACCCATTGTAGGGGGTATTCTAGCATGTGGGATTATCCTTATACTTATATCAGTTTTGGGGTTGATGGGAGCTGTTAAACATCATCAAGTTATACTATTTTTTGTATCCTTTTTCAACGTCGATGAACTATTACACATATACAATCCATGATAGTTGATAATACTGGGTGTTAAGTGAATAAGAATATATAAAAATGGTGAAATGTAACTCAATGTTTAATACCTTATATTTGTTTTCCTTAACTTTTCTTGTAGTATATGTTAATATTATTTTTGTTATTTTTAATCCAATTTTCTGTGGCTTGTGCATGTTTAGGTGTAAACCAATCTCAACAATTGACAATGGCAGAACAAGGATGGAGCAGGTAAAATATTAAATTTGCTATTAAAATAATATATTGAAATTGATTAATATCGATTGTTAGAGTTGATAACAGTACCAGATCAAATGTTCAAAATACATTTGTTTGCTGTGGATTTGATGAGGAAGTTGATTTAAAAGATCCTCCACCACTATGTGAAAATGCAAATGTATGTATTATTTCAATTTTGTATGCTTATATTATTAATGTGTATTTTTAGCCAAGATGCTGTACTACTGACCCAAATGTTTGTCTTTGTCCTGGCTGTCTTAATAAACTGCAAAGTACTATTAACTATGCATTTAAATTGTGTGGGTGGATTGGATTATTCTTTAGTTTTACTGAGGTAAGTAAACTTGTGTTGCAGATCAACAACTTGAATATTTAAATGGTTTAATTTTTTATGGTGTTGCATTAACTGAAGAGGTACTAAAATTAACTAATTATTTTTTAACATCTGTATATATACTTATTATTTTCATGTTTAATATCTAAAGTTAAAAATGAAGTACTTATAAGGTAACTGGTTTGTTGGCATGTTATATTTACAGTTTATGGGAGTGCTATTAACTGTAAGATACCGTAACCAGAAAGATCCACGGGCTAACCCAAGTGCTTTCCTATAGTGCTGTAACGTTCATCATTCTGTTCAAAATGGTGGGTTTATTGTACATACTGGCTTTATGGCTTTTGTCTTTATTATTTTATCATTTTTGTTTTTTTCTGATTATTGTAAAGCTGATTTGAGGTCGTTTGCTTTGTGTGAATAGGCTGAATCTGTTTCATCACACTATTTTCTTAGTATTTGCACACATTGCTTTTATGCTCATTTTAAGGCTTTTTTTTGTTTTTATCATTTAATCAATTTTTTTATTTTATTTTTTCTGTCCATTATAGGATATTTTTCTGATTAGAGCACTTCTTTCATTCACAATGATTTTTGCTTTAGCACAAATATTTAGGACTTATTATGTGTATAAAACTGAAAAAAATAAAAGCCTGGTGTCTGGTTTGAGATTTTCACTCCAAAAAATATGCTGGCTAAAGTAGTGCGAAAATCTCTAACCAGAAACTTGTTATAGAAATTTTTGTTGAACGCTGGGTGTCTTTTTATATACACTCTATACACTCTACAAAGTGTCCTTTTCCAATGGCAAACCTCATTTGCTAACAAAACTTGGTAGTTCAATTTTTTATGGTATCAAACTTACTTTAAAATCTTTAATTAAATGGTTGTAGTATGTACCAGTATACTACAACTTTTTGTACTTTTTGTGTCATCAGAACATGATTACCGATGATCTGTGACCGTACTAGAAAGAGAATTGTATGTTTAGTTATTTCATTAAATATATAAGGTAGGGTGGGTCAAAAAAATCGACTATTTTTTTCACTTTATACTTTGAAAAAAAGGTTGGTAGACATCTCAAATAAATTCTCTTCACGTATGAGCTCTTAATTTTAATAGGAAGGACTTCCGCCTTTCAGTTTTTTATTATTCTGAAAGAAAAATTCATATCTCGGTTTCTACTATTTGGAAAATACATACTAGAAAAAATAAAATCAAAGATTGTTAAAATTATTGTGCATTGAAGTTTGCCAATGGATATCTTTTAAACGGTTAATTTAATCGACTAATGATAAGAAACCATTTTTGTAGATCAGTGAATTTCCTACAAAACTATGAGTTGCGCTTATTATAATGATTTTTTATAAAATATATACAGGGTGTCATTGAAATGGTGTAAAAAAAAATCGGGGAGTGATAGTACTCCTAAAAAGGGTAAAAAAAGCTCCTATAAGTATAGGGCGGAAAATGCATATTAAAGGAGTTAGGGGCACTGAAAAGGTGAATTTATAAAACGGTTGTTTTAAATTGTAGGCTTAAAGGACGAGATAAAATTTCGAAAAAAAATCCTCTGCCATAAATTTTGACCCTAAATCAAATGGTGATACTGAAAAATTATTTGGAAACGCGGAAAGGGTAGTTTTTGCAAGGGTAGGGGGTTGTTTCGTGAATAACTTTTTTGAGGTTATTTTTTTTGCAACGTGGGTTCATTTTTTGAAAACTACATACTTTTTCCTACAAAAAAGGTACTCTTGTTGCACATCGCCCATAGCGATGGTTTTCGAGAAAATTGAAGGCAAAGGGTTTGCTATGACGGGTTGCTAACAGGTTAATCAACATAAACGTTATGGCGGTTCAAAAGTAACCAAGTAGTTATTAAATAATTAATTGGAAAATCAAAATTTCATGATTTTTAAAACATCTTATTGCTTTAAAAACGAAATAATCTCTTTTGGTTTTAAAAAAATTTGGTTTTCTCAGTGCCGATTAATACTAAACAGCAACTACGGCAACGCATTATTGACTGTTTCAATCAAATTCGGACAGCAACAAGGATATTCCACAGGGTACGCAGATCGTGGAGAAGAAGATCAGATGTCTACATTGAAATGAATGGTGGTCACTTTGAACATTTACTATAATATGAATAAATTAAAGAATGCATTATTTTAATAAGGAATATTGGTAATTGGAGTATTTCGTTTTTTAAAGCAATAAGATGTTTTAAAAATCATGAAATTTTGATTTTTCAATAACTATAAATAATAACTACTTGGTTACTTTTGAACCGCCATAACTTTCATAAGTTTATGTTGATTAACCAGTTAGCAACCCATCAGAGCAAACTCTTTGTCTTCAATTTTCTCGAAAACCATCGCTCTGGGCGATGTGCAACAAGCAGTGGCGTAACAACAGACTCACGGGCCTGTGTGCAAAAATTTTACCGGGCCCCCTATTACACCTACATATTTCAATACTTATATACTATTCTGAATAATATGCACTCATATTTTAGGTTAGAAATAACATTATCAAATTAATTTTTATATAGTATTATCACAAACTAACTTAAACAGATGCGACACCTTATGGGAAATTTTGTGTTCAAAAAGACCTATGTTCGGAAGTGCGACGACAGAGCGGCGATACCGTCGATGAAGGCAAAATATTCGGCCAAACAAACAGCCGTGGTGACTTCAAATCGTTCCCGCACTCCCCGCTTCCCTAAGCTTCCATTTCTTTCGTTCTTTCTCGCCTTTAACCTTGCCTTTGATACACCGCGCCGTCTCGTCTGGCCGTCGCAGCCGCCGCACGATTATAAAGTCAAAGCCAAAGCTGATAACCGTTTTTCGCCCATAGTATTTCATCTGTTTGACAAGCTTTAATTTGGAAAAAGATCTTTCAGCCGAGGCCACAGAAACAGGTATGGTGAGAAAAATATGACACGCTGTTAAAATCTCGCTGAAACTAGAAGACGATGAAAGGTTTTTAAATAAAATAAATTCAGTGAGTTCAAAAATGCAATTGATTTCATATAATTTATTTCGGAAACATTGCCCGAAGGAGAGTAATTGAGAAGAAATCGTATAGGCAATATCATTGAGGTATTTAAGGTATAGAACCTGACCCATTTCACATATATCCTCATCAGAAACAGAAGGATTCTGCTTGATTCGCGATAGCATGTGATAGATATGGAAATGCGGACTGGGCCCCCCGAGGGCTCGGGCCCGTGTGCTTCGCACACACGGCACATCGATAGTTACGCCACTGGCAACAAGAATACCTTTTTTGTAGGAAAAAGTATGTAGTTTTTAAGAAATAAACCCACTTTGCAAAAAAAATAACATCAAAAAAGTTATTCCCGAAACAACCCCCTACCCTTGCAAAAACTACCCTTTCCGCTTTTCCAAATAATTTTTCAGTATCACCATTTGATTTAGGGTCAAAATTTATGGCAGAAGATTTTTTTTCGAAATTTTATCTCGTTCTTTAAGCCTACAATTTTAAAACAACCGTTTTTTAAATTCACCCTTTCAGTAAACTAACTCCCTTAATATGCATTTTCCGCCCTATACTTATAAGAACTTTTTTTACTATTTTTAGGAGTACATTTTTTACACCATTTCAATGACACCCTGTATAAAAAAATATAATATAAAATTCATGAGGAAAAATAAAATTGCCTTAAAATAATAAAACTTCAACCTTTAATAACTTTCGAACGGTGAGGTTTTCAAAAAAATTGTAAGATGCCTTTTTTGTAGAGAATTCAATTTCCTACAAATATATGAGACGAGATATTTTTTTTCCAAATAGTAGAGTAGATACCAAGATTTGAAGAATTTTTCTTTCTAATAATAAATAAGAAAAAATAAAAAACCGAAAGGCGGAGGACCTTCCTAATAAAATTAACAGCTCATACTTGGAGAGCATTTTTTAGAGGTGTCTACCAACCTTTTTTTCAGTGTATAAAGTGAAAAAAAATAGTCGATTTTTTGTCCCACCCTAATATAGTGTCTTTAAAAATATGAAGCCAAAGTCACTTTCAGTTAAACTGGAAGGGGCTGTGACTAGGTGCGCCATAATTAAAGATTTTTATGTTTACTATTCTAAAAAAAACTAGAATATCTGTCTTTGCAAAATAAAACACTAATTTACCATAATACACCAAAACACTTTACTTTTTGATTGAACGCGCGTTTCGCTAACTATGTCAGCAGATGATTAAAACTATTACACTACTATACAGGGTGGTCCGAACTGTATTCCGGAAACTTCGGCAGCATTTTCTGCAGATAAAAATAAGTGAAAAAGTTCCTATAAATGTATGTCCTAAAATGGCTTAGTTTCGGAGATACAGGGTGTAGAAGTTTCATTTTTATTTCGATTTTTTCAAATGGTTTCTGTAGTAACGGCAATATTTGGATGAAAATTGGCATCTGGGAGTTTTTTGACATGAAAAACTTGATTTTGATGTCAACATGACTCGTACTTGTAGAGGGCGCCAGCCACATATTTTTTAACTTGTTTAAATACTAATAATAACTTCTCGTTCGTACTTGTATAAAACTACTGAGTAAAAAAATATACATTTACGACGTTTTTTATGTAAAAAAGTCTCTTGGTAAAAATCGCTACGAGTAAGGGTTCTCGAGATATTTTGAATCTAAATAATCAATACCTGTCATCATTGTCATAAATTAAACATGTTTACTAAATATTTTTTATTAGACTGAAATCATAAATTTGAAATATTTTTGTGCCAAAAGTTCAACAGAAACTGTTTTATCATCTTTTTTTTTTCGAAGAAAAATTCATGATTAATTTAAAAAAATAAAAAGTTTCCAAATTTATCATTTCAGTCAAGTAACTATCTACTCAACATGTTTATTTTTTGTCAATAATGATATGTATATTGACTATATCTGGAGAACGGTTGCTCGTAGCGATTTTTACCAAGAGACCTTTTTCACGTAAAAAACGTCGTAAATATATATTTTTTCACTCAGTAGTTTTATACAGGCACGGACGAAAAGTTATTACTTTTCAAAGCAGTTAAAACATTTGTAGGTGGCGCCCTCTACAAGTAGGAGTCATATTGACATCAAAATCAAATTTCTCATGTCAAAAAACTCCCAGATACCAATTTTCATCCAAATATTGACCTTACTTCAGAAATTATTTGGAAAAAATCGAAATAAAAATGAAAATTCTACACCCTGTATCTCCGAAACTAAGCATTTTAATAAATTCATTTATACAAACTTTTTTACTTATTTTTATCTACAGAATATGCTACCAAAGTTTCCGGAATACAATTCGGACCACCCTGTATATTAAAACTATTTATATTAAAAGAGTTTTAATCATATGCTGATGATGCTAACGCGAAACGCGCGTCCAGTGCAAAAGTAAAGTGTTTTGGTATATTGTGGTGAATTAGTGTTTTATTTTGCTGTTGTTACACCAACGGTTCCAACCCCCAAATGTAATATCTGTCTTTGATATTTTATAGATAAAAATCTACTTTTATACATGTAATATATGTTTAGAAATTTTTATTTTTGTACTTTGCTTGCTGGTGAGCGTTACTTTTAACAAGAGTTAAATCAAGATTATCTTTGGGGTCAATAATAGGTGTGTGTAAATTTTAGATAGTGGGAGTTTTGTTAACGAAACGCTATCGTAATCAGCAAGATCCAGATGAACAACTTAAAGCCACTGCAATCTTTCCAGGACAGAACACTTTCACCTACTAGCATCAAGCTGTAATCTAGTCATTCTATCACCTATTTTATTTAATGTAAATTAATTTTGGGACCAGTATGACACGAAGGCAAAGTTGTACCTTGCAACGCATTCACGAACAAATAAAATATATATTTTTGGAAGTATAACAAACGTTACTGTCTGATTCAGTACAAGTGTGTCCACTGGTCAATGCCATTTTTACCAAAGACTTATTTCTCATAATTTATACATTTGTTTTTAGTCTTTTTTAACAGTAATTTTTCTATTTATTTAATTTTAATTGTGATTGAACAATCTGTGTCTTTTTATTCCATTATAATATTGTTTTACAATATTGTTAGTATTTATATTACGCATTCCTATGTGTATTACAAAAATAGTTGTTACTTGTAATTTTAATTTTTATAATGTGTGCAATAAATGGCAAAGAAAAATAACTATGATGAGTATTACAGTGTCTGTGTAGATTTATATCTTATATATTGTATCTATTATTGCATCTTTTGTTATGTAACATTAAATCTGAGATATATATATATATATATTTTGCTATGTGTTAAATAGTGAACTCTGTAGTGCTATAATATGTAAATTCAGTATATATTATTGACTAAGTGTACAGTGCGTTTAAGCTATTTGGACCTATGGGGAAAATGCTTTTAAGATTCTCAGGAATTTTTGTTACTACTAACTATTAATTAAATACTAAATTTTTAATTATGTTGTTTGGTATACAGGGAAGCTTAATAAATGTAGAAACTCTGTATATGTGAAAGATATATAAGGAGTGAATTTCACATTTTTGAATCTCCTTGAATACCAAATAACATACATAAATTGTATAGTTTATGAGCGGTTTGCTAAGGTTACAAAAGTCTTTTATAAGAAATAAAAATTCCTGGTGAATTTAAACTTAATTTTTGTCATAAGTGTCCTAATATCTTGAATAAATCACTGTATAAATTTAATAATATCCCTAAATAATTTTTAAGGATAGGTACTGTAGTTTTTGTAAGAAACGCTTCCTAAACTAAAAGACATTTAGTGGGCTTTTGCTCAACTTCTGACTAGTTAAGTTAGTTTTCTATGTGTTTTAGACTATGACATAAATGTAGTAGTTCCAGGATGTAATAAATATTAGAGATCTCTTCCATTTTTGTTTTAATTTAATTTATTTGTCTGCACTCTGAAAATTAAAGATTATTTAAGGCGAATTTATTGATACTTAAATATAGCAACATTTTTATAGGGTGGCCGTATCTAAAGAAGTAACCACTATCTTCTCTGTGACAGAATTGCATTGCGATAGTGACACAGATTAAGTAATATACTGTATGTATACAGATAAAAATCTTGTCCCTAATTCGTTATACGAAAATTGTTTTTTATGACGATAAACAAAATTTCCTGCGCGCAATAAGAAACTCACGTTTAAACAGCGTAATAACTGGGCCGGTCAGGCGCTGTGCTCAATTTTAGAGGCCATAAGTGGGCGTGCTATGTGCGCAAACTAGTAACCTAACTAGTGCGCGACTCCGAAAATTGGAACCACGAAAAACAATGCTTTTGACGATAAGTATCAGAAAAATAATCACTAAATTCAATAAGAAAACGCTAAAAAGGTGGAGTGGACTGTTTATTTACCTATGAAACGTAACTCCTAGTTCTTTCTTTTCGCTGCGGCTTTCACGACACTTGAAAGCTGAACAACTAATCACCATTGTAATAAAGTTTATACAAAGTTCAGTACACACAAACTATTAAAAAAGCGCTAAAATTGTAGCTGATCAACAGCTGATGACTCATTCATTACAACCAAAAAAATAGCGTCTAAGATAACATATTCTGCTGCAGTCCCTATATGGGCGTTACATGTCCTTGTATTCTTTAGTCATTGGGAAAGCTCTGTTATAAGAGTATCATCGGGTTCAGAATCTGCTTAAACAAAACATGGTCGCATCCAGATGAGCCTGGTAGCTAAAAGGAGAGATTAACTTAAAATATTTTTACTTGCAGGTGTATTCTTATGGTAAATAACAGAGTGAACACATAATGTACTGGAAATATCATTTATTTAAAGGCGAACATACAGCATTGTTTAACCAGGTCTTAATTTACTTATATTATGCATATGTATATAGTAATGATATTAGCGATATATCGCCATTAACAAAGATGTAATAAATAAAATTGATCAAGCTTTAACAATGTCAAATCACAACAATTATCAATTGGCCACTAATGGGAAATATCAAAATGTCCTAAATTTTGATAACCACATATGTCACAAGCAAATATTCGTTCTTATTCATAAAGCATTCACCATTATTTTACATTTTAAAAGTTTTATACTCATAATAATGTTGTACCGATGGTGAATATATCAGATTAAACATTATTTATTAAAACAAAACGTATATCAACACTTAATTTAAAGAAGTACATATTTTTAGGCAATTGGGGTAGAACATTGTTAATTGATCGTTGTTTATTCCAGAACCATTCAAAACTTAACAATATATTGTCATTACGTAACATCCAATCATAAACGACACCGTTTAACACCTAATTTAAAACACCAAACCTATGACGTAATTATTTTTTTAACAATTTCATCAATTTCACTACGCCACTGGTTGACTAGAACAAACACTCAATTTCTGACCAATATAATGAAAGTATTCGATGAATAAGGAACACGTGATCCACCATAGGTGGCGGGTATACAGTTACAGTGGAGCTTTTTGCTCAGTCAAATATTGATTTTATTTCTTGGCGGCCTCTTTTGTGTGAAAAATAGTTATACCTGGTGTCTGTATGAAAAAGAAACAGAAAAATTAAATAAGAACTAAGCTTTTTTACTGCAACAAGGAGACCGAGATGTCAATTTATGGTACAGATCAATTATTGCATTTTTTGAATATGGAAAGTCAATAGAATAGTAATGTTGCTCCACTATAGTTAGTTTGTAAAAGGTAAAGGTATTTTACAGAACTCTACTGTACTAAAATACTCTTTAAGTGTAACTTTGCAGCTGTTGTGATTTAGATGTCAAACAGCAGAGTGTTCATTCTATTTGAACACCGATGAATGTAAAAATAGTGTGTTATTGAAAGTGAAAACGTTTGGCATGATAGAATAGACAGAGTTAATAATTAGTATAATGTTGATATATAGTTAAATATCTTATTTCGAAAATTACTAAGTTTAAATTTTTATATTTATCGATTTATACTCTTTTTATCAAATTTACAAATATTAATTATGGTAGATAAACCATTACGAGGAAAGTGTAAATCTGGATACACACGTTCAAGAGTGAAGTTTGGAAATCTTTAATACAAAAGGATATGTAATTATGTTAATTTTAATTTAATGGGTCTGTTGGAGTGATTAGAGATAGAGTTAAAACAATTGTAAACAGTAACTTTTCTTTTAATTTGATATAAACAAGATTAATTAAGCTTGATTTTCATGCATCCGTTGTCCGACGATACGTTGATACGATATTAATTTTATTGGTAGAATTTAAAGACTTTGATTGGTTAGAAAATAACGCAGTTTTTAAATTTATTGCATTTTCATGCCTTCGTTTATCGGATATACGTTGGTGTTATTTTATATTTTCGTTTTCATTACGATTTTGCTATTTTACTTATATTTTTATTAAGGTTAGATTAAATTTGTCAAAAAAGTGTCAAAACGTCCGTTACCGTATGAACGGGTCCGTTGACGGGCTGAAGTAAAATATTTACGGATGAAAAGTGGCGCGAAAACGCTCTGACCAATCAGAGCATCGTCGGACCATCGTATCAACGTATAAAGCCGGAGTCTCATGCATCCGAAATCCGATGACACGACGATCCGACGGTGCTCCTATTGGTCGAAATATTTTGACACCACTTTTTATCCGATATTTTTAACTAATCGTCCGACGTCGTATAAAGTTAAATTTTGTTTAACTTTTGTACGATATCGTGTGCTTTTAACCTCACTTTTTTTGAAAACATTGGTTTTTAAAATCAAGTTTAGTGGGAAGTGGGTAATTTCGGGATATTTGGCGAGGAAGTTATTTTTATAAGTGTTTCTCCAATAATACATGTAATTTATGTTGATACTGTTGATAGGAATGACAGGTCTAAATGTCAAAACTGTCAAATTTCGGAACGAACTTTCGGATGTATGTGACAGGCTTTTTTTATTTCACAAGATAAATTCAAATTTCGGATGTCGTACCATCGGATTTCGAATGCATGAAACTCCGGCTTTAAAGCTTGTCAATTAACGGACCCGTTCATACGATAACGGACGTTTTGACACTTTTTGACAAATTTAATCTAACCTTAATAAAAATATAAGTAAAATAGCAAAATCGTTATGGAAACGAAAATATAAAATAACACCAACATATATCCGATAAACGGAGGCATGAAAATGCAATAAATTTTAAAACTGCGTTATTTTCTAACCAATCAAAGTCTTTAAATTCTACCAATAAAATTAATATGGTATCATCGTATCGTCGGACAACGGATGCATGCAAATCAAGCTTTAACTCGTAATGATATGTTTGACTTCTTTTACAAACTTTGATAGACTATGAATTCCAACCAGAGCTGCAAGCTCACAGAAAAGTTAAGTCTTTTTCAAAATGATTTGTGCTTTAAATCTTATTCCAAAATAGAAAAAGATTTGATTGAAGTCATTAAAAAGATTTAAGTCTTTATCTATTTCGGAATAAATCAGATATTTATATATTTTTATGATGCATTTTTAACAGCAGCATTTCTTTTTAAACTATTCGGCGGCAGCCAAGCAGCAGAATAAAAAAACAATGATCAATACTACTAGCAAATAAGATATTAGTTTTTCGGAACCGGTTTTAATTATTCGTCGTGTTACGATGCGTGCATAGTGAGTCTGTTCTCTTTTAAGTGAATCCCCGACACCGTTATGTAACCCGAAAGACGAACGAAAGAAATTTATCTAGAATATATTAGTACCTTAAAATGCCATCGATATATTACATAGTGATCAAAACACATCACCACTTTTTAATAGACATGTATTGATTACATCTAAACTGTAATGGATATAAATAAAATACTACAAAATCAGATGCAGATCACCATGACTTAAGTCAAAAGTATAGACTTAAGTCATAAAAACGACTTAAATAACGTTATATTGATTTAAGTCTTTACAAAAATGACTTGACTTGAAATAAAATGATTTAAGTCAAAAACTCAAGATTTAAATCATTTGAACTTTATGTTGAATTTGACTTAAGACTTAAATCATTTTAAAACTGATTTGTTGCAGCTCTGATTCCAACCAATCAGTCATAAAAGACAATCAGAAGACAGTCTTAATTATACATTTTATTAATTTGAAATTATCTTAAAACCAAAGCTTTATAAAAAGTGAGGTCAAAAATTTATGGTATTGAGTTAATGCTTCTAAAGATAAACTTTTATACGTTCTGTATGTTTTATACGTTTATGGTTTTCAGTCAATCATTTTACTGTTAAATTTTACATTTTTTATAGATATACAGAGCATTCCAGATAATTCTGTGAATATTAATTACATATTAGCATAGGCGTTCAATAAAAAACAAATATTAATTTTGATTCTACAGGGTATTTTAGTCGGAAATAGTACCTTGGGAGTTTTCAAGACATTAATTTACGGTTTTAGGAGATATCTAATACTTACTAAATTTTTTCTCCTATAGTCCTGTATTCTATATTGTTTCCTGGGACACCCTGTGTCAATTTTAAATTAGTTTTTTTGTAATTAGGCTTCAACTACGATCACTCCGGCTATATATTTCATTATTTCCATGTTTTTTTTTAGTAGTAAAAAAACTAAGTTTAAAAAAATAACTTGCCTAAAAATTCAAAACCTTCTACGGGTTTCTTGCTTAACAACTAACAATACTTTTAGTGCGTCATTGACATGATAGCCGATAACGTGTTTGAGAATGTATTTTAAATGCTGAAAATGAGAGAATATTTGTGCTTTTTAAATATCCTATATGCAAAAGACACCAATAACTAATATATCCCCAAAGAACACTTCAGACAAGAATTAATATCTACGTGATATTCCCCAGTTCCAGCAATTTTACTTGCAATAAGTAGCATTCTCAAAACGTTACCTGTACTTAATAACAATAATTTCTAGTCTAAATATGATATAACAATTATAGCATGTTTGAAATACAATAGTTTTAGTTTTAACGCGTTTTAATATTATTTTATCGTTCAGAGCATATTTAAAGTGTTTAGTGAACCGGCAGTCTCTTTTTCTGATAGTAAAGTTCAGGAAGAGGATATGAAGAAATTTAATGAAGATTCCAGTACCGTTTTTTCATATAAAATACGATTTAATAGGTAACGAGATTATATTTTAATTTCAACTTTGCTCTGCATTGGCAATATATTCACGATGTTCTTGTTTAATGTTCAATTTAAATGTCCTCGGAATTTATAGATATTTTTATGGAACACGGGTACTAGGGTTCAGAACCGGGAAATCCCGGTACCGAAAGTACCGGAAATTCCCGGTTCTTTCGGTACTTTCAGGACTCGGTAATAATAATTAAAAACATATTTTTTGTTACATGTGAAAGAGTTTTGATACGTTCTTGCGGTCGAAATCAAACTCTTCTATATAAGTAGTGATGCTATCTCTTACTGTTCTTACTTCTGAAGTTATTTTGAAGTTTCTATAATGTTTATTAGCAATTATTAAGTTTAAATATGTTATTTTGTTATTTAGTATAGTATTGCTGAATGTATTAGTTATATTTTTCTTGTGTTATGATTTTATAGGCATTTGCATCTTTAATTGAAAATGTTAAGTTTTTTTTTCTAATTTAGTTAAGTTGATTTCGAGGTTGGTTGATGTTGTTTGATGCAATTTTTAAGCTGTGTTTTCTTTTTTTCTCATGACTTAATAATTTAATATTATTTTAGTCTTAAATTAGCCTTTTTATTCCTTGCTTGCTGATTGGCGAACTCCACAATCGTTGAACGAAAATATTTTAGTACGGTTCGAAACTCTAATTAATACTACCAATTAGGATTCAGATCTTTTTGGCCATCACAGAACCGGGCCTCAGCAACATTAATTAAAAAAATATTTTTTTGTTAAGTGAGAAAGTCCTTTGATCCTTTCTAGCGGTCGAAATCGAACACTTCTAAATAAGTAATGATGCTATTTCTTATTGTTCTTGCTTCTTTTCTAATTTTTTCATGACTGATTACTTAATAATTTAATATTATTTTCATTAAAAATCTCAATTTTTTGGCCATTTTACTTTGATAAGCCATCCCTTAGTTTCTGTACCACCAGTGAACAAAAATTAGTCAGTACCGAAAGTACCAAAAAAAAATGGGAAATCCCGGTTCCTAAGAGGCGCGGTACCGAAATTCCCGGTTCCGAAAAACAGCTCCGGTCCGGAAACCTGAACTGAAAAAGTTCTGAACTCAGATTTAATTTGAAAAGTTTAAATGGCTGAAATTTCTATTTAGTTTAAGAGCACCCACAGACGCTCAGTTCTTTAGCACAAACTGAGTGTACAGGCCAGTTTGCACAGTTTAACCTGTAGTGCTGACCGTCGCGCACACACATATTTTTTTACAGTGAAAATAGTTTTCTGTCTTTCATTCTGTTCGCTTGTAGAATAAAGATTTTTTTTATTTCTGTCGCTGTACTGCTTTGTTATGTTTCTTAACTTCTATAGCAGATCAAATTTATTGTACCAAGGTTAAAAACAAAGAACACTGATATTTGTTCATACCTAATTAATAAAATATTCCTATTTTTATATATACATATCGGTTTAGAACGTCTTGCGACGTTGTCCGATGCCTAACTTCCACGTCTTCCGATCGTTCCACTGTCCCTCGCTTAGATTTCTGGCACTCATTGCTCTTGTGACACCCTCATTCCAAGTCTTCTTAGGTCTTCCACGTTTTCTTCGATGTTGGGGTATCCATTGCATAATTTGTTTTGGAAGTCGTGTGTCATCCATCCTCTGGACATGTCCGTACCACATAAGTTGTTGGCGTTCGATGTCGGTTGCCAAAGATCCCTCTATTCCTATCCTCTGTTGGATTTCTTCGTTTCGGACTCTATCTCTTCGGGAAATTCCTAAGGTTCTTCTATAGGCATCCATTTCTACCGCTTCCAGTTTTTTTCGGTTGGCTTCCGTTATTCGCCAAGTCTCTGCACCATAAAGTAGACTGCTCTTTGCCAGGGTCTCGTATATATTGATCTTCCGTTTCTTCCCTATTTCATTACTCCAAAATGCTCCATTCAGACAGCCAATTGTTCTTCTAGCTTGTGATATTCGTTTTTTAATTTCTTTGTCATCTTTAGCTGTTGTATCAAATATCACTCCTAGATAGGTGTAGTTATTGCAGGCTTCTATCTCTTCATTTTCTAGATGTACGCTAGGTAGTTCTGCACCAATAGGTAGATATTTAGTTTTTCCTGTATTTATTTCCAAACCCCATCGTTGATATTCCTCTTATAGTTTCCTTGTCATGTACTCCAAATCATCTTTATCGTTGGCCATAAGAACTTGATCATCTGCGAACTGCAGAGTATATAGACAGGTATCTCCCAGATTAATTCCCATTCCATTACATTTTCTCTTCCATTGTCTCAAGGCCTTTGCTACATATACCTATTTTAAATAATGTGGGCGAAACACAGCATCCTTGTCGTAGACCTTTATTGACAAAGAATCTTCCAGATAATGTGTTGCCTATTTTAATTTGTGATGTCGATTCTTCGTACAAGTTTTTCAGAGCTCCAATTAAGGTGTAGTTAATGTTGGTGTCCTGTAGTACCTTGAATAGTCTGTTAACTGGAACGGTATCATATGCTTTGTGAAGGTCATTAAACATGAGGTGTGTCTCCTGATCAATACTACTTTTTTTCTCTATTAGTTGTTTCAGACAGAAAATATTATCGGTACAGGTTCTCCCAGTCCGAAAACCAGATTGTTCCTCCTCTTCTTGTTGTTGGTATTCCTGTTCTATTAAATCTCTAAGGATCCGTCCGTATAATCGACTTAGGGTACTTGTTACTGATATACCTCTATAGTTGGAGCACACTTGTTTATTTCCCTTTTTGTGGATTGAAGATTGCACATTAAAAATATTGCTGTTTACATTAAGTTTCAGTTTCATTTTAGAGTAGTGGGTGCATTATAAACAAATTTTGATTTAATTTAACTCAATGATGTTTAATGTTTTTGAGTATGAGGCAAAAAATATTTATATTTAGTCATTTTATAGTTAGTCGACAAGTGGTTGAGCTGAACTAATTTAGTAAATTAACTTGTTCATGTTCATTACTGATTGAGAACAAAAAAAAATGAAGGGTTAAGTAAAGTATTAAACTATTTTGGCATTATTATTACTTTCTGTTTTCATTTTTTTAATTCAAGAAGAACTTCGCTCATGTCAGACCAAGAAGTGGCACAGTGGGCCGGAAGTCACACACGTGCCGCCATGCCTGCACAAGTCTAGCTTGCATGGCAGTGTGTGCGATAAAACTGAGCGTCTGTGGATGCCTTAAAATTGGTTTATGAACATACGGTTTCTATAGATATGCCAATACCCACATATTATGTAGGTATAGAGATGTGAGTTTGATAGTGGGAAATAATTACTTGATTTTAAAAATGCTCTGGATAAACGTTTATTTGTGCTGTTCCCTGCCCCAGCTACTTAATTGTCCCCTTAAAAGTAAAACCTAGCTAACGTTACTAACTATAGAAATAAATCAATATTTTTAATATAAACAATATGTTTTATTTATTAAATTCGCAAAAAGTAAAGCAATCCCTAATGATCGCTTTAACATTTTATTGAAAATTAAATTCAGTGTTAGTTTCGATACTTTTTACGTTCTTTAACAAACCCATTTTGACCACAAACATGATCCTAGTGTTTTAAATAAAGTCCTATTTAAAGAAGTCTTATTTAAAATAAATTTGTTTTTCTTGGTTCTTTGTGAATGATTACATTTATAATTTACTTGCTTTTAATATTTTTAAGTTAATTTAAAGCAGTCATTATACAGAGTGTCAAAAAAATAGTGTATATAACTTCGGTGGGTGATTCTACAGATAAAAATAAAACAAAAAGTTCCTATGAAAATGCCCTAAAATGCTTTTTCTTGAAATTTGGTACTAAGAGTACACACACATTTTAATGCCAAAGCGAATGGCGATAGTGTAAAATTCCGTAACAGCCCTGAAAGGATACTTTCCATTAGAGTAGAGAGTACTACTGGTGGTACTTCTTTTTATCTTTACAGATACAGTAATTTCAATAAATGAAAATTAAAGCTAAGACTTTTTATCTAAAAAGGTGCTCTTCGTTTATTTCGAAACAGTAAACGGTTTTCATGATATTTGCGTTTAAAGGTTCGGATGCATCGATTTTAGCATTAGCGAAATCAGGAGATCAATTTATTTAAAATTTCTTTACATTTTATCATTTCAGATTAGGTATACTATACTAAGATAAAAATCTTGTCCCTAATTCGTGGTACGAAAATTGTTTTTTATGACGATGAGCAAACGAGTAAAATTTCTGTGTGCAAAAATAAACTCGCGTTTAAACAGCGTAATAACTGGGCCGGTCAGGCGCTGTGCACAATTTTAGAGGCCATAAGTGGGCGTGGTATGTGCGCAAACTAGTAACCTAACTAGTGCGCGACTCCGAAAATAGGAACCACGAAAAACAATGCTTTTGACGATAAGTTTATAATCTGTATAATCTGTGGTAATACTAAAATCGATGCATCGTAATCTTTAAACAAAAATATCTTGAAAACCTTTCATCTTTTGGAACTAAACGAAGAGCACCTGTTTTACGTAAAAAAGTTTTAGCTTTTTATATCATTTGTTGAAATTACTCTATCTATGAGAAGATACAGTAATTTCAACCAAGTACCACCACTACTCTCACCCTAACGGAATTTTTCACAACCGCCATGCGCTTTGGCATTAAAATGTGTGTAAGGGTACCAAATTTCAGGAAAAACCGTTCAGTTACCAATGTTCCAAAAATACGAACTTTTTGTTTTATTTTGATCTGTAGAATCACCCACCAAAGTGAAAACTATTTTTTCACCCTGTATAATTTTTATATAGTTTTATCTAGAATAAATTGAATTAATACAATTGTATTAATTAATGTAAAATCTAGTATAAAAACGATATGAAATTATATGTTAATTGTCTGTCCAACAAGAAAAAATTCTTTTTTTACTATTCTTTAAATTTATTTTTTAGATCAAAAGTAAATGGTTATAGTTTGTGGATATCATCTATTGAAATCATCCATTTTCTCTTTGGATAGACGTTATATATACCGTTGTAGTAGTTTGTGGCCAAAATTTGTGTAACGTATAAAAAAACCTGTGTGTGACATTTTTCCAAAAACGTATTATTCGAAAGTTTGCGACTCCTGTTGCACCAGTTTGAATCTTCTCGGGCTTTTCACACATATGGATCCGTGCCCTTCAAATGACGAGAGTCGCCCTTTGGTCTGCAGGTATTTCTTTATGTATCTCGCAACTAGAATTTGCGGACGTAGCTGGTATTCGTTAAGAACCTCTTTGGGAGTACAAACCTAGAATAGAAATTAATGTTTTCTATAGGCTTGGTGCATTTCAGTTGGTTTCAAAAAATTCCGACCGCAGCGCTCTTTACGGCAGAAATCAGAAATTTTCGCTGCGTATTTCACCCCGGCGCCGTCCCGGTTACAGTTCATGTTGATCGCATTAATTCAATACTGAAATCGTGGCTTTGTCATTAAGTATTTTAGTTTTTTGCTAGTGCAGTTATTGAAACATTATAAAACACTGGTACGAGGTTTGTGTGATGTAAAGCTGTTTCGGGTAGTAAAAATTAAGTAAAAAAGAACTCGAACTGGGCGTCGCGTTTTGTTCTGAAAATTTCAAATGTTAAAATTGTCGAAAAAATGTTAACGGACACAAAGGAACACATTTTTGAAGGGACATAAATAAAGAAACCAACATAAAAATTGACTATACTTAGTAGTTTTATTTGCTTAAGGTGAAAACTGTTGATATTCTCATTTACATTTTTACTAAATAAGCCACGCGGAAAATATTTGTCTGAGGATCTTCGCGAAAAAATAATCAACGCATATCGGAATGGTGTATGGCAAATGGACATAGGCACAATGTTTAATTTGCATAAGTCTCATTAGCAAAACGATTTCGAATTTCAAAACTCATAATTCCTTAAAGACCATTAAAAAAATGGTCGGCCAAGGAAAAAAACGAAAAAAATTGAAATAATAATTAAAAAAATCGCCTTAACTAATCCGCATAAGGCCATCCAAAGAAGGCTAAGAGAAGCAGGATTATTTAGCAGAAGAGCAGCCAAAAAACCATTCATCAGTAAGAAGAACCAGAAGGCCCGCCTTACCTTTGCAAAAATATATTTGCACTGGTCGACGAATGACTGGAAAAATGTCCTGTTTTCAGATGAAAGCAAATTCAATATATTTGGAGCGGATGACATATCGTGGATACATCGCCCAGAAGAGAAAAGATTTGATTCAAAGTATACCAAGGCCACTAAAGCATGGTGGTCACTAAGGCAAACTAAAGCATGGTGGTGGATCTTGCATGGTGTGGGTATGCTTCTAGGACTATGGTATGGGACCACTGCATGTAATAGAAGGAACAATGGATCGATTTATGTATTTGGACATCTTAAAGAAGGTGATAATTCCGTTTGCTGATGATAATTTGCCTTTAACCTGGATATTTCAGCAAGATAATGATCCAAGGCATAAATCGAAAGTCTTACAAGAATGGTTTTTGTCTGAACAAATTAGGGTTTTGGATTAGGGTCTGGACTTTCCTGCCCAAAGTCCAGACCTTAACCCCATTGAAAACCTGTGGGAGGAACTAGATCGCCGGGTAAGACGAAGTTACATTAGCAATAAGAAAGATTTGATAAGAATATTGAAAGAGGCCTGGAATTCTATTGAACCAGATATCATAATAAAACTATTGGACTCCATGCCAAAGCGATGTCGTGAAGTTATAGCTAATCACGGTTACTCTACCCATTATTAATTTTATTAGGTTAGCAACAACTATGTACAGGGTGGCTCGAATTCGACGCCCATCATTGGGATTTCGAAAAGAGATACAGGATCGGTTAAATGGAGGCAAAGTTGTGCAATTTGATGCTCAATAAAATGCCGTATTGCATTTTGAAAAATTCCGAATACTTCCGAATATATTCGAAAAAAAAACGGAATTTTCAATTTTATTTTCTATTGTTTCCTGGCTTTATTTGTTAAGATAACTTAAAATGAAAAACACATTTTCATGGCCACTTTTTCTGCTCTATAACTCTGTGTGATTAAATATTCATTCTGACGTTTCGGCTTCTGGCGACCATCATCAACTTAATTTTTTAAATACGGACCTGATTTTTTTTTCAATTTAATTAAATCCTTTCATCACTTTTAAAACACTATATATAGTCACTTTGATATTTGTCGACGTTTCGTACAGAAAATTCCATTACCAGAATATTTTATGCAAAAAAAAATAAAAATGCAATACGGCATTTTATTGAGCATCAAATTGCGCAACTTTGCCTCCATTTAACCGATCCTGTATCTCTTACTGTTTCCGAAATCCCAATGATGAGCGTCGAATTCGAGCCACCCTGTACTTGCAATTTTTATATTAATTTTTAGTGTCTCTATTTTTGTCCCTATAGTTTTATATTTAAGTGAATAAAATCTTAAGTTTTCGTGAGACATATATGATTATTTCATTTAAATAAGAACTATTTAAGTATCTTTAATTTTAACAATGCATAAAATGGCCTCAGTCCCTGCGTTAACAAAAAATACTCAATTTTAAAAAGTTTCTCTACTTTTATCCGATAGTGTACGTCGGCCACCGGAAAGCGGGAAGCCGGTACACTATGGACGTACCTTTACAATATTTATAGTTTTATCACTAGATATTTATTTTACTAGATATTTATTTACTATTTATTTATTTATTTTTATTATTATATTTAGTTTTTATTATTTATTATTTATTTTAGTATTTTATTTAGATATTAATATGGTTTACCTGGTCTCCTTTTAATCTGTTAAGTAACGCGACACAAATAACCGCCGCCTTGATGCCTGCGTGATTGGTTAAGGCTGCGAAAGGCACTGATTCCATTTCGATGTTTTTGACACCGCTCTTCATCAGGCCTTCGAGGTACTCCAATTTGTCCGCTTCGCTGTAGTCGCAGAATGCCCCGTCGCATCGGCCCTGTCCTGTGGAATCATAGCATTAGAAATATGCAAAACTACTCACCGGAAATGACTTGTAGCGTCGATTGAAGAAATAAGAAGATGCGCAACCTTATGGGCGATTTCGTGGCACAAAACCTGTCCGAGATGTAGCTGGCGTTACCGTCAGCCTGTCCGTGATCCGGGATTTAGTGTACAGTGTTGCCAGAACTACTGTTTAATCCGTAGATTTACGGATTTTGGGTATAATACGTTAATAATACGGATTTTCTATCATTAAACATTTTAATATAATATTATATGATTAAACAAAGAAGGGCGTCAGAGTTGGCTTGGAAATGAAGATCGCTGTTATCTCATACGTAAAATATTATGGTAAATCTCAATAATCGTCATTTCCAAGCTAACTAAATTACTTATTTCAATCATACGACATATTCAGTACCTATAAAATAATTTTTATCATTTTTTTTTGTTGTTTATTCTATATTTAACACGAATACATTTTCAATACATAAACGCGGATTTTTCATCCAAAGATATTTTCGTGAAACTTATTACACATTTTAATATGGCAACACTGTCCTTTTCAGATCCACACTGTTCTCGATATGCTTTCGATGGCCGAATTAGAGAAAATAGGTGTTTTATACGCTGACCGCAGAACGGTTGTTGTCCCCACCGTACAGTACTTGAGACGTAAGGGGAAATCAAATCAGCCTTGTCACGAATTCGCCCATTAGGTAGCGTATCTTCCCAATCCTTTTTATCAACGCTTGTAGTCATTTCCGGTAAGAAACAGGAATTGACCGAAAACAATTAAATAAGTCAATCTATCCCGAATTATGTCATATATTAAAGTACTAAATCTCGTTTATTTATCTGAAAAAATAAAAAAGTTATAGGAGGTCAGCTACTTTTTGAGAAACACCCTGTAGCGGAAGAGGTAAGTATGTAAAAATTTCGTATTTTTTTTAAATTATTATTTATGAAAGGTATGATAATGCTAGTTTTGATATTGATTTGTTTTGCCTTTTGTGCAAGACAAAGACTAAGACCAATCTGGCTCATCAGCAGACTCATGCAGGGATATCCTATACCGGGTGTGTTTCAAAAGTGGCTCACCCCTGTAACTTTTTTATTTTTCACATAAAAAAAACGAAATTTTGGTATGTTAGTATACAGAGAAGACCAGGCTACTAGTAACATAGCAAGTTGCCGGACGAATTTACGTGCGTTCGTACTCGAGATTCACTGCCGGCTAGTCGGCTAGTTAGGCAGTACGCAGTTGCAGTTGTGATTGGACGGGTCGGTTGTGACAAACTAGGAATACGACGCGAGGAGTGCTGAGTATTTATTATTTTCATTTTAAGTGTTTACCTTCACTTAAGGTAACATTTAAAATAAAAGTACTTAAATATTTATTATTTGAGTGTGCTTACGAGCCAAAACTAAAATTAAATAAATTCTCTAAACACAAAACTCATTTCCAAAATTAACAAATATATCAATAAAATAAAAAAAATACTAAAATATTACTCTAAATAAAAAAAAGTTATAACAAGTGTTCAAAAAGACCACCTTTTATGCTAGACAGAAGCCTAGGCAGTCGTAAAATCTCCGTCTGACATTGGCTAACATATTAGGGCTAATAGTTTGGAAAGTCTCTCGTATTTTTACTTGAAGCTCATCCAGATTATTAGCCCTATTATGACCATACACTTTGGATTTTACATAATCCGACAAAAAGAAATCATTGGGAGAAAGATCTGGTGATCTAGCGGGCTACAAAATAGTTCCATGTCCACTAATTAAACGGTTGGGAAAAGTATTGTTCAAATATTCATCAGGCTTTTTGTGTTTTTGTGAGGACACGCACCCATGTGTTTCAAAATTATTAATAACTTGATATAGTAGGTAAAGATGGAATTGGCCTATTTACAAAAGTTTGTGGAAAAATTGTTTGTATATCCCGATAAAACCTATTTTGGAAATACCATTTTACAATTTGAATTTTCTAACGAACTTCGTAAACATCCATTATTTTACTCAAAAAATAAATTTTACAAGAGAACTGTCGCGAGAATCTATGTATCCGTTTTGGCTATTAAAACACGAATAAATACAAATTCTGAAACATTCTTATCACATGTCTACCTATTTTTATTTTATCGCATTTTTTCGCCTGCTTTTTATCCGGCGGACGGGTATACGCTAATTCGTCCGGTTCTGCCTATGTTACTACTACGGTGGACCGGTCTGTATGACATAAATTAGCATTGATTAAATTCAATTGTTTTTGGTCACTTCCTGTTTCACCGGAAATGAATACAACTTTTTATTTTTAAATGACACTTTCGGAATTTTTTTACTTTATTCGATAGAAAATGACACCCTGAACAGAATGACATATCGTGTGTCAACTTTTAACATTTTCGTATATGGTTATTATTTGAAATTGTAACATGCTGTTCATATCGACAATTTGACTCGAAATACCAAGTATGTGGTATCAAATTATTCGTAAAAAATGGTTTTTACAAATATGCTAATGAGTCACTCTTGTTCCATTTGAAAAAATTGAGATATGATTAAAAATACCTTTTGGGCATCTTTTAATCAGCCAGAACAAGACACGAAAAACATAGACGATCAAACCCATAGAGTTATCAAACCTATTTTTCCAAGGCTCCTTGATTAAAAATTAGTATTTTTAACACAGCTATGGTACTCTAGATTGGAAATTAAAATACGATTTCTTTTAAACGAAAATGTCAAAAGTTGACATATGATATGTCATTGTATTAAGAGTGTCATTTTCTATCGAATAAAGTAAAAATATACCGAGGGTGCCATTTAAAAATCAAAAGTTTTAGTCATTTTCGGTGAAACAGGAAGTGACCAAAAACAATTGAATACGTCAATCAATCCTAATTTACAGTACGTCTGTCCGTTCTGTAGCTACTATTGTTGTTTATTAAATGTTTTTTGTCCGCACTCCTTTCATAGACACAGATCCAGTAGACGTACTTTATGTCATATACTAACATACAGTACGTCTGCTGGATCTGTGTCTATGAAAGGAATGCGGACAAAAAACATTTAAATAAACAGCAATATATTTTATACGTCGACTTAACGAGCACGTCACCGCAAATTGCTCCGCCCACTCATTTTATTGGCTACTTGCAAATTTGTCGACTTTTTATTGATGGGACGCGTCGCTTAATTTTTTACGAAAAACATCGCGAGAATATCGCGTTTCCTCTCTCACGGATACCCCGTAGCTACAGAACGGACAGACGTACTGTACCAAATCTCGTTTTTATTTGAAAAAATAATAAAGTTAATAATGTGTATCTTACCTTCGTAAAAATCATCAGCACACATTGTGGTTCCTAGGGTTGTCTCGTAAGGGTCTTCTGGATCAGCCAACGCTTTAAGTTCTCTAGTCAATTTTTTATCGAATTTGCAAGGTCTTTGTACAACTTTTCCTAATATTGGCTAAAATTTTAAATCTTTCGTTTATTTCTGACTTTTAATTTTATTCTAATCGAATTTGTGTTAAGAGTCCATTTCACTAGTCCGTAAAAGTAGCAAAATAAGCATTCGGCATTTAACGTTTTGTGTAAAACTGGCTAGGTATTTTTACACAAATGAAGAAGGAAATTAAAGATAAAGGATTAGACTATCCGTATGGTAGCACATTTTTACACAACTTCTTTATTTTTAAGATTTTGATGGTCAAACATCAAAAAAAAATCCTTGTTTGGACTAAATTTTCTCGAAAATAAAGATAATTTAAAATTCCGTTACAATACGGAAATAGATTGAAGTTTTGTGATTACTGTGATATATAATTTATGGTTTTGTAACAAATTGCTCGCTATTTTATGGCAAATGCTGAAGCACTGTAAAGCTAAATCAAGCCTTAATCAAAGCACGTGTGCTTGGAATTTTGGGTGTGGCTTAACATGACAGGATTGGGTTAAGCCTTAGGCAGATTTCTGAAATATAATATATATTTCCTTCGGCCACACACCCGCTTTACCCGATCCCAGAGAGGGATCCGAAAGTACAGCATAATAGACTCTTATGCAAATAATGTTGGTTAGGTTGTAGCTTGGTTACAATGACTAAAGAATATAAGGACATGTAACGCCCATATACGGGCTGCAGCAGAATTTGTGACCTTAGAGGCCATTCTTTTGATGGCAAACAATGAGTCATCATTTGGTCACCAGCGACAATTTTAGCGATTTTTAATAGTTTGTGTGTAGTGAACTTTGTATAAACTTTATTGCAAAGGTGATTAGTTGTTCAGCTTTCAAGTATAAAAGCAGCAGCGATAAGAAAGAGCCAGGAGTTACGTTTCATAAGTAAATAAATAGTCCACTCCAACTTTTTAGCGTTTTCTTATTGAATTCGATAATTATTCTTCAATTTCAATTAACATCTATACAGGGTGGCGCACCTCATTCGCCTCGGTTGATTATACGAAAACGGAAAGATGTAGAAACAAAATATTTCATGACTATATGTGGGGAGGTAATGTGCACAATTTAAAATTATTTTGAAATGTACAGGGTCAGAACTAAGATCCATACCAAAGTTATATTTTTCCTTATGGACCACCCGGTATTTTATTTCATTTTTGGATTATTGAACCCAAAAAAAGGTATTTATTATAAGGGTTAAATATGTTTAAAATCTTTGGTTTTTGAGATATTTAAAGATATTTAAATTTGCATGCTACAATAGAATAGATTATTAACACCCTGTACATTACTTTTCAGACTTAGTTCTTGTGCTGAGTTTAAAGGTAGAGAAATAAACTTTACAGAAAAATGTTATTCCTTCCTTAAATGTATACAGGGGTATCAAAAATTGCTGGTCTATTTTAAATATTTATTTTACATAAAAACTTCGTTATTTCAAATGCAACACTATGTATTTTTTTAAATAAGTCGAAGCAGATTTAAATGCTCTTTCAAACTATATCAGGGTTTCCTATACATATCTGATTCAGATTTTGAATGAAAAGCGATTTTTCAATAAAATGGTCATCAAGATTGCTAGTCTTGTCATGGCCAGTTTCTAGTGACAATTAGTAGCTATTTTGAAAATCGAAATTCGTTTATGGACTTATTTAAATTTATACCAGTATACTTTTATTTAATTTACCTACAATAGTTTAATAAATATTATTTATTAAATATGTGTATATTATTCTATCAAGAAAAACGAAGATGTAGTTCTTTGAATTATTTTACGATGACTTGTAGATATATGGATTTTCTATAAAATAGCCAATTACGGCAAATTCATTTTATTCACTTCCAACGACAGGTTTTTATAAATCACACTACCAGCTCTGCGAAATAGGACAAGAAGTTTTTCAAAGAAATGCTTATCAGGAAGATTCTTATTTGGATATCTTTGAGCATAAGCCCTTGACGCCAAGAAGCAATTTTCCTCACAAAATAATATCTAGTAACATATCTATTCGTTCCGCCAGCAGATACTGTTTTATTTTTCTTGATAAAATAATGAATACTTACTTATTAAACTATTGTAGGTAAATTTAAGTAAACTGATGAATAATAATGTCCATAAACTAGTGTCGACTTTGAAAATAGTTACTAACTGTCACTAGAAAATTGCCATGGCGACACCAGCCATCTTGATTGCAATTTTATTTAAAAATCGCTTTTTATTCAAAATCTGAGCCAGATAGGTATAGGAAACCCTAATATAGTTTGAAAGAGCATTTGAATCTGCTTCGATTTATTTAAAAAATACACGGTGTTGCATTTGAAATAACGAAGTTTTTATATAAAATATATCCTTAAAATAGATCAGCAACTTTTGATAGCCCTGTATAAATTTAAGGAACCAATACCATTTTTCAGTAAAGTTTATTTTTCTACCTTTAAACTGAGCATAAGAATTAATTCTGAAAAGTAATGTACAGGGTGTTAATAGTCTATTCTATTGTAGCCTGCAAATTTAAATATCTCAAAAACTAAAGATTTTAACCATATTTAACCCTTATAATAAATTCGTTTTTTGGGCCCAAGAATCCAAAAACGAAATAAAATACTTGGTGTTCCATAAGAAAAAATATAACTTTGATATGGATTTTAGTTCTGAAACACCCTGTATATTTCAAAATAATTTTAAATTGTACACATTGTCTCTCCACATATACCCATAAAAAATTGTTTCTACATCTTTCCGTTTTCGTATAATCAACCGAGGCGAATGAGGTGCGCCACCCTGCCTGTACTTGATATGTGCTATACGTCGATACTAGTTTTGTACCTTTTGTTAACATTTTAATACGTTTTTTTTTCTCGTAATTAATTAGTATTAAAAACGTAGTCAAAAGAATTATCAGAAAATATAAATATTGCTTCAAACAGCTAGGTTAAGAAAAATATGTGCCACGGCACTGTTTGGTGACATCGTCACAATTTGCTCTCGGGTGTTATTTGTCCTTGGATTCTTTAGTCATTGATTTGAATAAACTGAATCTAATTCTCTATGATCTAATTTTAGTAGTTCGTAGTATCTTACCACTGAATAAGAATGATTTCCTAATCCGTCTATAGCATCGTCGGATATAACTACTGTACCCGGTTCTACACCCAAGCCTCCACATGTACCTAATCTAAAGAAAATCGGGTCTTTTGCTTTGGAATGGTACATCAGTTTGATTGTCTCGTGTAACAGAATTCCTATAGATGGCGTTCCCATTCCGTGCTGTAAGAAAATAAGGAATGAATGAAACTTTATATGCCTAGCCTAGCTGGCTAATTAATGCATAATTTTTTGTAGTCCAAGTAAATACTCTATTCAACCAAAAAAAAATATGTTTTTAAGGAAGGAGCATATCAAAAATCTTAGGTCCACCGCGATGGGACTCAAATATGGCCGACTTAAATTCCGGTTTATCAGTGCCGTTCTAATTTTATTTAAAAAATGTAAAACTATGATGTAGGGTAGACGTGGGGTAGATTCAATATTTTTTTTTATTTTACGTTGGGAATAAATGTATTAAAATTGTTATAAAAACATATTATTATAATAAAAATAGATAAGTTTTAATAATTATTTATTAACACAAACATCCGATACGCTACTGAAGCAGGTAAGTCAAATTGACGTATCTAAATTCTTTGACATCTAATCTTTGACAAGTAGTAAATAAAAGCAAAAATGCAAGAAAAAATATAGTACACGTATGTATATTATATAGTCACTTACTAGCGAAAAGTTTTTCCATTATTTCACTCGATTTTTGCCGAGATCTACCCCACGCTACACAACCAACTATTTTAGTCTTTTCGATAAATAGCGATAGTGTCACTGTTAATTTAAGTGCTGCCACAATTTCCATCTATATTTACTACCTTTATACAACTATCAGTAGTAGAATAAATAATAAATAACATAAAATAAGCTCCGTAAAGACTGACAAATCCACAAAATTTCAAATCAAATTCAAATGTGTCAAATGAATCGTCAAACAGAACCGTCAAGGATCCCCTACGCCTAAGCATAAAAGGACGAAAATATATTATTAAACTGACATCTCAAAGTGTCAAATTCAACGAGCGTAACCATATAATTTCTCGATATACAGGGTGGTCCGAACTGTATTCCGGAAATTCGGCAGCATATTCTGCAGATAAAAATAAGTAAAAAAGTTCGTATAAATGTATGTCCTAAAATGCTTAGTTTCGGAAATACGGGGTATAAAAGATTCATTTTTATTTCGATTTTTTTCAAATAATTTCTGAACTAACCTTAATATTTGGATGAAAATTGTTGTCTGGGAGTTTTTTGACATGAGAAATTTGATTTAGATGTTAATATGACTCCTACTTGTAGAGGACGCCACCTACCTACATATTTTTAACTGGTTCAAAAATTAATAACATTTCGTCCGTACCTGTATAAAACTACTGAGTAAAAAATATACATTTACGACGTTTTTTACGTAAAAAAGTTCCATTCGTAAAAATTGCTACGAGTAAAGCTCTCGAGATATTTGGAATCGAAATTATATATATACATATATATATATATATATATATATATATATACATATATATATATATATATATATATCAATACCTATATACCTATCATCATTGACATATATTAAACATTTTAACTAAATAGTTATTAGACTGAAATCATAAATTTGGAATGTTTTTGTGCCAAAAGTTCAACAAAATCTTTGCAGAAAAATTTATGTTTAATTTAAAAAAATAAAAATTTCCCAAATTTATTATTTCAGTCAAATAACTATCTACTCAACGTATTTATTTCTTGTCAATAATGACATGTATTGACTATTTCTATTCTAAATTTCTTGAGAACGGTTACTCGTAGCGATTTTTCCCGAGAGACATTTTTACGTAAAAAGTCACGGAAATGTATATTTTTTCACTCAGTAGTTTTATACAGGTACGGACAAAAAGTGATTACTCTTTAAAACAGTTAAAACACATGTAAGTGGCGCCCCCTACAAATAGGAGTCACACTGACATCAAAATCAAATTTCTTATGTCAAAAAACTCCCAGACACTAATTTTCATCCAAATATTCCAGTTACTTCAGAAATTATTTAGAAAAAAAAAACGAAATAAAAATGAAATTTCTACACCCTGTATCTCCGAAACTGAGCATTTTAGGACATATAAGAACTTTTTTACTTATTTTCATCTACAGAATATGCTGCCGAAGTTTCCGGAATACAGTTCGGATCACCCTATATATAGTATCTAATTTATTATTAAATATTATTACTATCAGTTATTATTGCTATTAGTTCAACCTACAGCAATTTGAAATACGGCAAAAAAAATAATGGTATTTAAGATAATAACAAAAGACCCAATTTTAAAAAAGTTTTAACCATCCTGTAAATTTAAACCTATGCATTTCCATACCTATGTTTATAGGATTTTTAGTAGACTGATGTATTTTTTATGAGGAATCAATGTGTACTTATTTAAAACTTCCGCAAGTTAATGATATTAAAATTTTTTAAAGGTGCTATTCGACTTGGGTCAAGGCAAATTCATAAAATTGCGTTTATCTCATCAAGGAGGCCGAAATCGACAAAATATCAAGAGATAATTTTTAATAACCACTAAACTCCTTACTTTGAAGTTGTTTACTTAATTAGAAATTGGTACTTACACTGATTGATAGTACCGGCCCCACTTTAAACATACTATATCTATACGAGTACTGACTGATGTCCATGAGGGTAGTGCCTGTTGGTAATTTGTATCCGATTTCTTTCATTATATAGTAGGCAAACATCTCCATACGTCTTGGCGTACCACCCATACAGACGAACTAAAAAAATCAGATTACTATAAATTACATTGCTATAAAATGCTTCTAATTAAAGTTATCATTAGCCCGCCATACACCAGAAGATTTGGTCGGCGGAGGGTATGGGGAGCTATTATTAGCTTCAGCAGAAAGAGAAGTCTGAAAAACTTGAAAAGTCAAATATCTGGGAATAACCCTGGACAGTAAACTTCTCTGAAACAGGCATATTAAAAACTAAAAACATTACAAGAAAAGTGACAAAGACTCCCATGATATGCAGAAGACTGGCGGGAAATAGATAAACCAACATTTTGCGTTGGATGTATACCATGATAGTAAGTGGATGTATACCATGATAGTAATGTATACCAATGATAGTAAGCATCACAGATGCCATGAGAATATGCCTAACAGCATCCTAACATCACTGCACATTGTCGTCGGTAGTTATGTCAATGATTAGAATGGTCATTGACGGAAACAGTACTGGAGAATTTTCAGGACAGGGGCTTGGAATACCCTCAAAAAGAAAATTCCAGTTCTTCAACACCCAGTGAACATACCAAGGATTTACAACTTTGAGAAACATCTCACTGTAGTATTGAGTAATAAAAAGGATCGGAAGGGAGAAACGTTTGCTCAGCATGTAAAAAACCATACCATAACGTGGTATACTGATGCTTCCAAAACCAAATAAGCAGAGACAGGGATAGGAGTATTTAGGCCGAAAACTAAATACTCCGAATCAATGGGCACCTACCCCAACATTCTTCAGGCAGAAATCTACGCTATCGAAAGATGCGTACAATTTATTTTAGATAGGAACTATCGAAAACAGGAAATAGCCATCTTATCCGAGCAGCACTAAACGCGATCAACTTAGTAACCATCAATTCGGAGTTGGTCAAAGAATGCCTAGAGAAGCTAAACAAATTAGGCAAAGAAAAAAAACTCTCTACTCTGGGCTCTGGGTGCCCTCTCACCAAGGGATAGAAGGCAATGAAAAAGCAAATGATCTAGCTAGAAAAGGAGCGAACACTGCACTAACTGGACCAGAACCGCTCTGTTTTTCAAGCAGAAACCAACTAAAGGCGGAACTGAGGAAAACTCCATCCGTAACCTGAAATGGGAGTCCTCCAACGGTCTAAGACACTCGAAAAAGTTCCCCAGAACTTACGACCGAGAAAAATCAAAGATTTTCCTTGATTTAAGCAAAAACAATCTTCGGATTATTACGGGGTTTCTAACAGGACACTGTCTCCCCAACGAACACCTCAGTAGGCTGAAACTGAGAAACAACGGCGAATACAGATTCTGTGGGGAAAATGGGGATACACCAGAACACCTTATCACTGAGTGCGCCGAGACGACGACCGTCTCTGTGGTGCCGTCTCTGAGACTGTATGATGAGTTATGACTCGTTATAACTCAAGAAAGAGGAACACACAATAGATCTGTAAGGTGACGGTGATTAACTCCCCTCCTAAACATTCTACATTCTATATTAGCATCCCATGGTGCGCCCTGGTCATTTTAATAACTGTGACACTTATGGCTAAATAGAGTCTACACATCTGGCTACTGAACCTTACCAGGATTTTACAGCATTAAAAATTCAAACATATCTTTTTATTATTTATAAAAATAGTTTGAACTACTTCTGTTCTATAAAACAGTGAGTTATTCATACCTTTACGTCTCTAAACATCTCCACCAGGTCATGACTTCCACTACCCAAGGCCAAATGGTACAAGATATCTTGATCCATGAGTTCGATATGTGGGTTTCTAAGCTTAACTGACCCATCGGGATATCTGAAATTAAAAAAAATAAATTATCTATCTTTTAAGACAAGAGCAAGGGTAGATATTTAGTAATTTTCAAACATGTACACAAGTTAGGTTTGTATAGGGTAAGGCGCGGTAAATCAAAATCTACATTTTGGTCGACCCTCCAATTTGATCCTCCTGAATTTTCTTTTTCAAAACGTATAACAGTGGCATGCGGTAAAATTTTTAGAAGGGTAAACGATTCGATAATGAAGGTAATAAAAAAAGTCGAAAAACATTTTTAGCTACAGACATTCAAGATCATATTATAATATAATTCACTAGCTAAATTCATATTGATTGCAATGAATTATATTAATCTAAAAACTAGGTTTCTTTTTTTCTCAACTTATATGGAAGCACAGTTTCCCTAGCTTCCGTAGACCGCACGCCTCTGACGTTCGGTCTGACAAGGCTTAGCTTAGATGATAAATATTTAAACATAGACACTTTATATTTATCCAGCTGTCTATTGAAATAATAATATCTATTGAATAATGTAAGGCAAATGATATTTACCTTACCTCTTCTTTACTTAGAATTTCTAGAATAGGTATCAGACATAAATATACAAATATTCCTGTTATACAGGGTGGACGAATTGGTCCGAATGGAAAACTTCGGCAGCATATTCTGCAGATAAAAATAATATCCTAAAATGTTTAGTTTCGGAGATACAGGGTATAAAAATTTCATTTTTATATCAATTTTTTTCCAATAATTTCTGAACTATAGTCGATATTTGAATAAAAATTGGTGTCTGGGTGTTTTTTGACATGATAAATCTGATTTAGATGTCTGCATGACTTCTACTTGTAGGGGGCGCCACCTACATATTTTTAACTGGTATGAAGAGTAATAACTTTTGGTCTGTCCCTGTATTACACTGCTACAGCAAAAATAGCTGCAATTAGTGGTTCTTGGAATTCTTGGATGGATATTTGGAATGAAAATGGTCAACATGGTACTGTAAATCTCCGAAATGCGGTAAAACCTAGGATAAGAGCGCTAAACCTAGGATTTACCAAAAACATTAACTAATTAGGTTAGCCTGGTTATTTGGAGGGTGTTAATGCATTGGTTAGCCTGGTTATTTGGAGGGTGTTAATGCATTGGTTGGCCTGGTTATTTATCCCGAAAAATCTCCGAAATGCGGTAAAACCTAGGATAAGAGCCCTAAACCTAGGATTTACCAAAACATTAACTAATTAGGTCAGCCTGGTTATTTGGAGGGTGTTAATGCATTGGTTAGCCTGGTTATTTGGGGGGTGTTAATGTTATATATAGTGTTTATGTTAAAATTATGTTAGTTAGGTGGTTATTTGGTGGGGTTGGGGTTGGTTTTTACTACCACTTGCTTTTGGTAAATCCTAGGTTTTACCGTATTTCGGACATTTACAGTAACAAATACATGTCATAATTGACAAAAATTATACACTTTGTGTTTTGGTTGACTAGATATTAAACTAGATATTAGTCTGAAATAATAAATTTGAAATGATTTTGTGCCAAAACTGTTTTATCGTATTATTTATTACTACGTATTATACAGGGTGAGCCTTAAATATTTTTAGGAGTAATTATTAGCGCTCATAATCGTGTTTTTGGTTTTCTTTTGAAAAAATTTATGTTTTTTTTAGTAAAGTCTTAAATAAAATAACATGTTTATTTTGGACTTTGGATTTTTTACCGGAAACGGTAAAGAGAAAATATGTTTCTTTTATCGAGATCTAGCAGCCCTAAAAATATTTGCTTATTTAAGACCCAACCTGTATTGTATACCGGGTGCGTCTCAAAAGTGGCTCACCCAGTGGCGGATAGAGAGGGGGGGGCCATGGGGCCCGGGCCCCCCCTAAAATCTGTAAATTGGGTTAAATATTAGCCTTTTGGGTTTAAAATGGCGATGGATGCCCTATGGCGCCCTAAAAGGCGCCCTAAATGGCATACAATGGCGCCCTAAAAGGCATATTCCTCATTACTTTTTATTTGGGCCCCCCCCCCTAAAATAAATTCCTGTATCCGCCCCTGGGCTCACCCCCTATAACTTTTTTAATTTTTCAGATAAAAAAACGAGATTTGGTATGTTAGTATATTATGACATAAATTAGGATTTTGATTGGCGTATTCAATTGTTTTTGGTCACTTCCTATTTCACCGGAAATTACTACAACAAGGCTACAACTTTTGATTTTTAAATGGCACCCTCGGTATTTTTTTCCTTTATTCGATAGAAAATGACATTCTGAATAGAATGATATATCATATGTCAACTATTGATATTCTCGCTTAATAAAAAATTGTATTTTAAAATTCAATCTAGAGTGCCATTGCTATGTTAAAAACATAGCCATGGCAAACTAATTCTTTATCAAGGAGCCTTGGAAAAATAGATTTGATCGTCTAATGTTTTTGTGTCTTGTCCTGGCCAGTTAGAAAATGCTCAAATCGTATTTTTAATCATACATCAATTTTTTCAAATGGAGCGAGGGTGGCTCATAAGCATATTTTGAAAAAGCATTTTTTTACGAATAATTTGATACCACACACTTGGTATTTTGAGTCAAATTTTCGTTACGAACCGCAAGTTATACCATATGCGAAAATGTCAAAAGTTGACATCGGATATGTCATTTTATTCAGAGTGTCATTTTCTATATAATAATGTAAATGTAATAAAATAATTAAAAAAAAATACCGAGAGTGCCAATTAAAAATCAAAAGTTGAAGTCATTTCCGGTGAAACCGGAAATGACCGAAAACAATTGAATACGTCAATCAATCCTAATGTATGCCATATACTAACATATCAAATCTTGTTTTTTTAACTAAAAAAATAAAAAAAAGTTATAGGAGTGAGCCACTTTGGAGACGCACCCGGTATACTCACTTATACGATTATTAATATCAACAGAAACTGTTTTATCGTATTTTTTTCTAGAAAAATGCAAATTATCTTAAAAATAAAAAGTTCTCGAATTTATCATTTCATTCAATAAGTATCGAGTTATGTTTATTTTTTGTCAATAATCACATGTATTGCGACTATTTCCATTCCAAATATCTTGAAAACGATTCTTCGTAGTATCCTGTAGTATTTTTACTAAGAGACATTTTTTACGTAAAGAAAAGCGGAAATGTATATTTTTTACTCAGTAATTTTTTTATAGTAGTATTATACAGGTACGGACAAAAAGTTATTTCTCTTCAAAGCAATTAAAAAATACGTTGGCTCTCAAATTTATCATGTTAAAAAACTCCGGGATACTAATTTTTATCCAAATATCGACGTTAGTTCAGTAATTATTTGGAAAAAATCGTAATACAAATGAAATTTCTACACCCTGTGTCTCCGAAACTAAGCATTTTAGGACATACATTTATTTATACGAATTTTACTTAGTTTTATCTGCAAAATATGCTGCCGAAGTTTCCCGAATACAATTCGTTCCACCCTGTATATTAAAAATATATATATCTATTATTTTTATTTAAATCAACTATGGGTGAGTCTTAAATAAGCTTAAATATTTCAGGGCCGGTAGATCTCGATAAATGATACATATTTTCTCTTTGCCGTTTTTCAAATATGTCCAAAATAACCGAGATAGGTATTTTACTTTGAAAATTTCAAAAAAATTGATTTTTCGCTTAAATATTGAGAACTGCTGGATCTTTTCTGGGTTTTCTTTCTTGTCAATTTAGTCTACTACCTATGTTGCCAAATTATGTAATAATAATCGAATTTTCAATTTTTTTTTCACGAAAAAAATCTCATAGGCGTGTTTGTGGGTCGAAACATATCGTCCCTAAAAATATTTGCACTTATTTAAGACTCACCCTGTATAATGTATGTGTTTAATAATAAATTTATGATTTGGGACTTTTTATTTTAATGTAAACAATAATCGTCAGCTCCTATTTTTTTATTTAATAAATATCATATTTAATTTACTGATAAAATTAACTTATTACCCTTGATTCTTTAAAAAATGCCGTACTTAATTGACGATAAAAAATATAAATATTTACTATATACTTATGATAAGAATACCCTACGATCACAATATATTTTTTCCCGGACACATTTTTGTAAAAATGCGCGAAAAAAAGATTATCGCTTAAATAATCGAGGGTTCCTATTTTTTATTATTCATTGAATAAATATTGTATTTAATTTATATTATAATTACCATTTATTCTTTAAAAAATATCATATTTAATTGATGATAAAAATACAAATATTTACTCTTTACCATAATAATACCATAGTTAGGTATATTTTTTTCCTGCATACATTTAATCATACATATTTAATCATTAAACGAACGATGGTTTATATCAAGATATAATATTCGATACTAATTAAACTTTTAGTTACGTAATTAAGGGCGCGATTTTTAAATTCATTGTTGCCAACCATGGACATATCGGGGCCGGACTGACTACTCGAAATTTAAATTTCCCGCTGGGGATTCAGGTGGTAGCTTTGTTGTAAAAAATGTCAAGTTGCCATGCATATTTATTTATTTATTTTACATTGTCATTCGTTTTGGCATTTTAGTTTTGTATTACGAGTTTTGGTTTAAGGGAATTTTGTGTTGTGATACTTTAAGCTTAAAGTTTTTTACTAGCAGACCTTGCAGTCGATTGTTCTTTTTAGAAACTCTTTTAATGCGAATTGTACAAGATAGCTTAATAGCCGATGCAAAAAACTCATAGCAACCTTATTAGAGTATTTTGAACGGGAAAGCGGTAGTAATAGCCCTATTGATTAAAATAAAATATGTAAAAGTGGGCAATGTTGTGCCGGTCAAGCTTAATCACGTGACTAAAATACTACCTACTAAAATACTAATATAATTACTGCCTACGCTGGGTAGGTGCCTATTTGTTCGGAGTATTTAATTTTCGGCCTAAATACTCCTGTCCCTGTCCTGCTTTGGTTTGTTTTGCTGCTCAATACTACAGTGAGGTGTTTCTCAAAG